GGTGTGAGTGGGTGGCGTCCGTAGCAGAGGAAGAACGGCGTCTGTCCAGTAGCGGCATGTGTAGCGTTGTTGTAAGCAAACTCCAGAACGGGCAGGTGCAGGTCCCATTTGGAGATCTCGTCCTTGCAGGCTGCTCAGAGGAGTTGCTCAACAATTTGGTTGAGGCGCTCGGTCTGTCCGTCTGTCTGCGGATGGTAAGTGGACGACATGGCGAGTTTGGTCCCGAGAAGAGACATAAGTTCCTTCCAGATTTTGCTGGTGAACTTGGGGTCTCGGTCGGAGATGAGTGTGGTTGGGATGCCATGCTGTGAGATGATGTGACGAACGAAGAGTTGTGCTATCTCCTCGATGCGTGCCGTCGTGTGTGTTGGGATGAAGTGTCCCATTGTGGAGAACTTGTCGATGACGACAAGGATTGCGTCATGACCACTGGTGGTTGGTGGTAACCCGGTGATGAAGTCCAGGCTAACCAATTGCCATGGTTGTTCTGGGACAGGAAGAGGCTGTAGTAGTCCCGCCTTTTTCTGCTTGCTACTCTTCATCCGCTGACACGTATCACATGAGGTGACAAATTTCTGTACGTCATCTGCTATGTGGGGCCAGTAGTAGTGTTTGGCGATACCGGTGAGCGTCTTGTTGCTACCGAAGTGTCACGCGTATAGGACGTCGTGGTATTCTTTGAGTAGTAACTGGCGCAAAGGAGGGTAATTGGGTACCCAAATTTTCGTTGCTCCCTTCCAGTATGCGATGTCACTGTCCCACTGTAGCAGATGTCGTTTTTCCGCCAAGGGGATTTCGGGGTCAATGGTGTTCTTGTGTGTGAAGAGTCCCTTGAATAGTGGATTCATCCCTTCAATATGAATGGCGGCAACGTGCGCAGGCCGGCTAAGAGCGTCTGCTTTGTTTTTGTGGCCGGGCTTGTATACGATGTCGTAGTGGAAGTGTGTCTCGAGGAAGTCGATCCACCGGACCTGCCGCCTAGAAAGGTTGGGTTGTGTCTTCAAGTATTTCAGGCTGCAGTGATCGGTGTAGACGGTTGTTCGTCGTCCTTCGAGATAACATCTCCACGCTTTGAAGGCGATGACGATGGCAAGGGCCTTTTTGTCGTGTATCGGGTAGTTAAGTTCTGCTCCATCTAGTTTCTTGCTGAGGTAGGCAATTGGTTGCAATCCATTCCCCTGATCTTGCATTAAGACTGCTCCCACTGCCTGGTCACTAGCGTCAGCTTCGATTACGTAGTTGCGTTCGGGATCTGGCAAGATGAGTACCGGGGCGGTCGTGAGTGCTTGTTTCAGCTGCTCCACGGCTTCCTGGTGCTTCGATTCCCATTTGTAGGGCGTGTTCTTCTTCAACAGATTCGTGAGTGGTGCTGCGAGTTTCGCATACTGTGGCACGAACCTGTTGTAATAATTCGCGAAGCCTAGGAACTGCTGCAACTCCTTCACGTTCTCGGGTGACTTCCACGTACGTACGGCTTCGATTTTCTTGGGGTCGACGTGAACTCCTTGAGCGCTCACCATGTGTCCTAGAAATTGGACCTTCTAAAGGGCGAATTCGCTCTTGGACAGTTTGACGTAGAACCGTTCTCGTCGAAGAATTTTGAAGACGCGTCACAGGTGTTCGATGTGCTGCTTCATGTCGCGCGAGTAGATGAGGATGTCGTCCAGGTACACCACCACGCACTCGTCCAAAAGTGGTCGTAGAATGTGGTTCATTTCAGCTTGAAACGTTGCTGGTGCGTTGGTGAGTCCGAACGGCATTACCAAATACTCGCACGATCCGTACCGAGTTCAGAAAGCAGTTTTGTGGATAGAGTTGTCCGCCATTCCTATCTGCCAGTATCCTGACCGCAGATCCAGTTTGGAAAATACCGTAGCTCCCCGAAGCTGGTCAAGCAGGTCATCGATTCGCGGTATCGGGTATTTATTCTTGATTTTCTACTTGTTAAGAGCTCGGTAGTCGATGCACATGTGCAGGCTTCCATCCGGTTTGGGAGTGAAGAGTACTGGGGCACCGTATGGCGAAGTGGATGGTCGGATGAGTCCTTTGGCTAGGAGATACTCGATCTGTTTTTTCATGTCGGTCAGCTCCATAGGGCTGAGCCGGTATGGTGCTCGGAAGGTCGGCTTCGAACCCGGTTCCTCCACGATCTCGTGTTGATGCGTTCGGTATGGCAGTAGCTCGTTCGGAAGATCGTCAGGAAGAATGTCTTGGAACTCCTTCAGTAAGTCCTTGATTTTTTTTTGAGGTTCCGAGGCTTTCTCTCCGTCATTCTCCAGCTCTATTGCTATCGCCAGGAACCCGGTATCGGTTCGCTTCACGTCCTTCTCGAATCTGGCGAGTGTCTCCACTGGGATATCTCCTGTATCGTCCCAAATGGGTAGCTGTACTCTCCATCCATTGTTGTAGATGCTTGCGGTGCGGTTCACCCAGTTGATCTCGGGGTTGAATCTTTTCAGGAAGTCCCGCCCGAAGATCAAGTCAAGCCCTTTGATGTTGGTGATGGGGAGTGCAGCTCTCCAGCGCAGTGGCCCGATTTGTAGGTGTAGCACTGCTTCACCGTACACTGGTAACTTGTTGCCGTCCACCATCGTTGCAGAGAATCCTGAAGACTTGTACTCTTCCCGAAGTCGGTCGATTACTGCCTTGTTGCAGACGGTGTGTGATGCTCCGCTGTCCACGAGTGCTTGGAGGCGTCGTCCTTTGCAGATGACCTCGAGCACGAGGGGCAGGCATTGCTCGGAGTACCCAAAGATAGTCTCATTGATTGGGTCATAGGGTATATCCCAATATTCCGTACACACCTTTGTGTTGCTATCTACTCCTGAGCTGGCAGCTGGCCGAGGCTGCTTGGAGAACGGCTCTTCTCCAGGGCCCAGAGTTTCTTTGACGACTGTGCGCATCATTGATGCCGAAGAACTGGATGCATCCCTAGGAGGAGTTCGGGGTTTGTGCAGCTTCTTGTAGACCCCCAGCTTCCTCTTGAGCTGCCTCAGCTCCACCGACGTCTTCCCTGGGGAACGGGTGGTCGTTGTGGGCTGGTGTCGGGAGAGGACGTTGACTCCGTGGAAAGGTCGGCTTCTTTCCACACTCCTTAATTTGGTCCCCAAGTTCTTCGGTACCGGTATAATCTCCACAGCTGTCTGCTTCTTTTGGAGTCCCTCCCGAAATTTCTCCAAGGCTCTAGCTCCTCGAAAATCATAAGTTTTCATTAAAGCATCTTTATAAGATAACTTTAACGAATCCTTATAATTTCTCGGGTCTTCAAGGAGTTTCCCTGTCTCGGCAGATTCTTTTTTCGCGGAGTCGTATTTTTCCTCGGCGATTTTCCCTGGCGAAGACTGGTCGTGGGGTGGAGATTTTCCCCCATCATTTCCTCCTTCTCGCGTCGAATCAGCTTCGTCGAAGTTGATTTTCCCGGAATCCCGCGGCCGCTTCCGGATCTTTTTTTTTTCGCCAGCTAGATCCGCAATCACTGGCGAGTCCCGTTTTTTTGCTTCTGATTGGCCGAAGGATTTACGCCACTGTTGCGTGCCCGATACTCTGCGCGTGCGGTTTTCATTTTGTTGCAGTCGAAGATTCGATGACCCGGCACCCCGCAAAAATCACACGTGTAGTTGGTGTTTTTCGGACGTGGCCGCCCCGCGAATGTGTCGACTTCCATCAGGTCGGCGAACGTGGGGTGAGCCGAGCGGTCGCCCTGTCGCGTACTGCCGACGTGCGTCCATCGTGTCCCGGCGTTGACCGTGTCGAAGCGCTCCGCGGCCGATACGACGTCACTGTAGCTCGCGTAGTTTGACGCTGCCACTTGTCGTTTGACTTCGGTCTTCAGCCCGCGAGGTACGACTGTACTTTTTCCCCTTCGGTCAGGTCGGGAATGCGGTTATAAATTCCTCCATCTGTTGCGTGTACAGTGCTACACTCCCGAACTGTCGATGGCGATGAATTTTTTCCCGGGCAAGGAAACTCGAATTTATCGGCTCGAATCGTTTCAGCAGGTCGGCGCGGAACTGCTGCCACGTGGCTTCACCGTGGATGAAGGTACTGTTGCCGCCAATCCACTCGAGTGCCGGCCCTCGCATCAGTGTCGCCGCGAGTCGTACGCGTTGACCGTCCCAGCCTGGCGAGCTCCATCCGACGGCTGCGAAGTAGATCTCCATGCTGGCGATCCATCTGCGGACGTCGGAGTTTCGATCGCTCGGATCGAACGGCTCAGGTGGGCGCGGTTTCGGAGCCTCGAGAAACTGCTGCGACTGCTGCGTTGTCGCCGTTGTCGAGTCGTGCTGCGCTCCGGCGAGTCGAGTTACTCGCTCGAACTCGTTTCGCCATGCTTCGCGGTCCGCTGGCATCTCCTCCTGAAGGGCTGCGATGCGCGCGAAGAGCTGCTGGGTAACCTCGGCGTTGTCGAGGTTCGCCATCCTGTTCAAAAACACGCGCGGAGGGGGTAATTCGAAAAAAAAGCGGAGCTGGTGCTTACCAAAATCGGCGTCGAATTGGTCGCCCCCGGCGGTTTTTCGAGGCAGGATCCCCGCTGCTGCTTAGTTGAGCGCGGCCGAGTGAGAAAAGCTCTGATTACCAAGTGTCACAGGATCGAATGACTCGAGGAAAGGTTGCACTATCGATCAGTACAAGGCGCTTTTATACTTCCAAGGTACATCAGGTAACCAGGTTTATCCTATCCTAAGGGAATAGACCCTTCTAGAAGATAGAATCACCCTGTGTATAGCCACGCGAGGCTATTGGTTTTAAGGGATTACGGCAGGATTACGCCAAATAGCGCACCAGTACATCCCAAGCCTGGTCGGTGATATAATTATAATAGCAGGATAAACCAAAGGTTTAATGAAAAATGGAGAATAGGAAATCAAATGAGATGGGATAAAAATAGAAATGAAAGAGGAAGGAAATAAGGAAAGGGACAAGTGGTGTAACGGGATCGTACTCTCACACCAGTTCTCGTCTTCCTGGACTTCACCTATCCAAGCATCCCTAGGGGAGAAACGGGGTACCAGCACTCCCAAGAAACGAGTCCGGAGTGTGCCGGTGCAGGGTCCTCGGCGAAACACCCCACGTCTCGCGCCTTTCGAAACCGCGTCGCGCTCCGCGTGACGACATCTTTGAGCCACGGCGATTTCGTAACGCACCAGGTGCGAAAGCAGCTCCGAAAGCGTTGCCGCTCGTCTTTCGCTACTTAGCTACTCAGCTTTCACCTGCTCATGCCTGCCGTCTCTTCCCTTGGCCCCAAATAATCCATTTGCCCGCCACGTCCGCGTCATCTGAATCGTTCATCTTCGCCTAGCACCTCCCCTTCCCATCAACCTCCCGTTGCCTTGATCCACTCGCCGTCATCCTCTCTCCCCCGCCACCGTCCGTCCATTCCCAAAGTTCCCCACTCGCGGCGCTCCTCTTCGTTGCCTCGCCCCCCGCCTTGCTTCTATCGTTCCCATCGCCCCCTCATCCCTCGCTGCGGTGAGAAAAGAGAAACTTGTCCCGCGCTCCCCTCATCCCTCCTCCTTGCTCGCGAGATCGCTAACCGTAGCGAACTCCCCTCCCCCTGTCCCTCGCCCACCCCCCTCTCTCCGCTCGCCTCCTCCCTCGGCGGCCTCGTTCGTCTCCCCTCTCCCCGTCCCCCCCCCCCCCTCCCCCCCCGCCCCCGCTTTCCCTCTTCCCGTCCCCTCATCCCTCATCCCTTCTCCCTTCTCCCTTCTCCCTTCTCCCTTCTCCCTTCTCCCTTCTCCCTTCTCCCTCCCCTTCTGTCCCCCACCCTTCACCCTTTCCCCGTCCCCGTCTCTCTCACCTGCCACCTGTAGCACACACAAGCTCAGCAGATTGCGGAGCTTCGTAGGCAAGGTGATGCCAAACCGAATGCACAAGGAATCGCTTTTGAACTCCTTTCCCTTTCCCTCCACCCCCCACCCCCCTTTTCCCCAGCTTTCTCACCTTCCACCTTCAGCGCACAGCAGGTTTCACAATGCGCAGCTTCTAGGCAAGGTGGTGTCGAGCAGGGTGCAGAAGAGCATGGGGTTGGCAGAGGGTCAGTTTGAGAGATATCCCTCTCCCACCCCTTTCCCTTCACCTCCCACCCAACCCCAGCGCACATACACACGCAGGGTACACATGAGTAGGTCGCGATGAGGAGTTTCATAGGCAAGGCGGAGTCGAACAAGATGCAGACGAGCGTGGCGGCGGCGGTGGATCAGTTCCTGGAAGAAGACTTCTTCTTTGGCCCTCCCTCTTCCCCCTCGTTCCAACTTCAGCGCTCACCCCCACAGAGAAGTCCCACTTGAACGCATAAGCACAGCACGATGAGAAGTTTCATCGGGAAGGTTGTGTCGAACAAGATGCAGAAGAGCGTGGTGGTGGCGGTGGAGCGGTTCAAGACGCACAGCAAGTACCCCAAGGTCGTGCATTCCACCAAGAAGTTCATGGCTCATGATGAGAGCAATGACTGCTCCATGGGCGACCAGGTGAGGAGAGAGAGATGCATGAGGGCACGACTGGCCTGAGGGGCATGAGTGGCATGAGTGGCATGAGTGGCATGAGTACAGCATCCGGTGCTCATGGGGTACCTGTCTCCTGGTGTGCTTCCAGTCTCCTGGTCAACCCACTTTCTCTTCATGGGCTCACTCTCTCTCCTTTCTCTCCCCGGCCAGCTGCACATGGAGTCGTCGCGGCCACTGAGCACGAGGAAGCACTGGGTGGCCACGGAGGTTCTTCCTTGCCTGAGCCTGTTTTCTCTCTATATCCCTTGCCCCGCATGTACCCCCCCTGTGTTCTGTTGAGGTGCGCATCGAGTCGTTGCAGCCATTGAGAAAGAGGAAGCACTGGGTGGTGGTGGAGATCTTCACTGCCTACCTTTGCTTGTCTGCCTCTGCTTCTTACCCTTCAAAGCTCCTCTGCCTGCGCCTCTGCTTGCTCCTGCCCCTGTTCAGCTGCACATGGAGTCATCGCAGTCACTGAGCAAGAGGAAGCACTGGGTTGTCACGGAGGTTCTTCTCTGGCGATCTCTGATCCTCGCCCTGCGCCTCTTGTCCATCTTGCGCCTCTGCTTATTCTGGCCTGTGTGTTCTGCCCAGGTGCGCATCGAGTCGTCGCGGCCGTTGAGCAAGAGGAAGCACTGGGTGGTCACGGAGGTCCTTCGCAAGGCGCGCATCTTCAACATAGATGATACTAAAAGACCAGCAGCAGCTGCAGCTGCTGCTACTGCTGCTGCTGCTGCTGCCAGCGCTGCTGGTGCTGGGGTTGGTGGTGCAGGTGGTGCTGGTGTTGGTGCTGGTCGTACTGCTGCTGCCATAGAAGCTGCCTTGGCTGCTCAAAGTGCATCTACCTCCAGCCATAGTGCCAGCAGTCTCTAGATCCTCCCCATGGACGTTTTTCAAGTATATTAGGTAGCCAGGATACATAGAGAACCAGCTGCTCATGGCGCTGCTGGTGCCCCTTCTGCTCAAACCACCCCTGGTGGTAACCCTAGTGCCAGTCTTCCTCAAGGCGTGTACCTGTGGCTGGAGTGGCGTGTGTGTGTGGGGTATGTTATGAGTACGTGTTGCAACCACGGAATTGTTCCAATGTGACGGGAAACGAAACGAGTCGTCCTGTGAATTGCAGGTGTTGTGTGTTAAAGTAAGAACTGAATAATGAACTAGAGGTAGAAACCTAGAACAAATACTAGTTGGTTGTATTCACTAAAAGCATACCTCAGTCTAGCCTATAACTTGTACACAACTAACATGTATAAGTTGACACAACCCCTAGGCTAGACAAGGGGTGAAGCTAAGCAAGAAACAAACAGCTCAGGGTGGCACTACTAGTCCAACCACTGAGGCAGGGGTCTGGAGACCAGTCAGCAAGGGTACAAACAAGACTACAGCAAGCCAGGGCGGCACTACTAGTCCAGCCACTGGAGGTAAGGCCACAAGGCCAGTCTGACAGGTATATATAATAGAGAGTACACAATCATGATCCTAACAGGTGAGTAGCTACAGGAACAAGACCAAGCTGTACACAGTGCCGCTGATGATCTTTCGGCGCAAGCGCCTTAGTAACGATATCAGCTGTGTTGGCACCTGAGGCCAAGTGAACTACGCGGGCCTGGCGGCGCTGCTGTAGCTCGCGCAGAAGGAAGTACCGCAGCTGGATATGCTTTGCTCTGCCCTCAAGCCGAGGCTCCTGACACAGAAGTATCATGGCCCTGTTATCAGGACCGGGGCAGAGCTAGGCCGCTCACCTAAGTCTGTGAGCAAGAAGGTCAGCTAGCGGAGCTCCTGTGCCGCCATGGCACCAGCGTAGATCTCAGCCTCACAGCTAGACTGAGCCACAGACGACGAGCGAGTGGATCTCCAAGAGATAGCACCCAAACCAAGGCTAAAACAGTAGCCCTGCGACGACCTGAGCGTCTCAGAGTCGTCTGCCCAAGAAGCGTCTGTGTGCCCAGTAAGGACCACTGGCCTGCGTCCTCCTAGCACTAACCCCATGCCCGATGTACTAGCAAGATAACGCAAAACCCTCTTAGCGGCAGACCAGTGCTGAGGTCGGTGTCTGCCTGTAGCCACAAAGCGAGCCAGGATGCTGAGAGGGTATGCGAGATCTGGGCGAGTGCAAGTCCTCAGGTACATGAGGCAACCCACCAGCTCTGCATAGGGGCCACTGGGCTCTACTGGCTCCTCAGGAACGGGAGCGGAGAGCCCATGGTCTACAGGTAGAGGTTTGGGCTGTGCGGAGGAGAACTGAAGACCGAACCTCTGAAGGACCTGACACACCAAGTGTGACTGTGTCAGAGTGATGGTGCGTGCTGCTCTGTCCCTAGAGACCTGCAGGCCAAGATAGCGACGCAGCTCTCCAAGGTTAGTGCAGGTGTGTCTCTTCAGAAGCTCGGCCTTCATAGAGGCCTGTGCGTCCCTGTCAAGAGTAGCGAAGACCAGGTCGTCTACGTAGACAAGGATGTAGAACGGAGTCTGGCCGGAATGCACAAACGGTGAAGGGTCAGCAGAGGACGGAAAGAACTGCAGGTCTGCTAACGTGGCACGTAGCGTGTCGTGCCACTCGCGGGGAGCCTGACGCAGGCCGTAGACCGGGCGCCTGAGAAGCCACTGGGTCCCAGGAGGGAAGGTACCAGTGAAGCCCTGTGGTCGGCGCAGGTAGACCTGCTCGTGTAGGCTGCCCTAAAGAAAGGCAGTAGAGAAGTCGAGGGAGTGAAGCTCGTAGTCGCGCTGTGCTGCTACGTGTAGCAGCGCCCGAAGAATGGTCATCTTCGGGGTCGGGGCGAAGGTCTGGAAGAAGTCAACCCCCTCGCGCTGACTGAAGCCTCTGGCCACGTAGCGCGCCTTGAAGACAGGCGGCTCTCCAGTGGGGCGTTTCACCTTGAAGTGCCATCGACTACGTTCACCCCAGGCGGGGGAACTACGTCGACGTAAGTGCCGGTGGACCTCCAAGATGCCATCTCCTGCTCCATGGCAGCTATCCACTGAGAGGCCCGAGGTCCCGAGGTGGCCTCAGCGTAGGTGCGAGGGGTCGGGATGTCGAAGGCGTCTTGGTCACCCTCAGGGACTAACAGCATGGAGCAGAGATGGGGAGCAGCCTCTGAGAGGAAAGCAAGCTCGTACTGCCTGTCCTCTAGGACATCACTGCCAAGGGCAGGAGCACCCCCGACGGACGGAGGACGAGCAGGGTCAGAGACCAAAACGGTAGCGTAGTCAAGGCGGCGGGTAGAGGCAAAGTCAGCGACAGCAGCGACAAGCGCGTCAAGGCGCGAGACAGGAACAGCAGGGTCGGTAACAAGAGAGGCAAGGACCCGAGGGACAAGGGGAGGAGGGGCACGGAGGTAGTCAGAGAACGGAGGAGGTGCAACAGCCAGGGACGAGGGAGGAGGGGACGGGAGGAGGGGAGGACGAGACGAGCGGGAACGGAGCAACATAGGGTGGGTGGGAACGACAGGAGAGACGGGACGAGCACGGGAGGGACGGCGAGACCAAACGTGGGACGGAGGTGTAGGGTCGGGGGACAGCGGAGGGGACACAGGAGGGGAACGAGGAGGAAGACGGGCCGGAGACGAGTCCGGCGGCGGGAACACAGGACCGTAGACAGGAAGGTCAGCCGGCGGTGGGGGAGACACCGACGCGCGGTCCGGGGAGGGAAGGCCGAGCAGGCGGAGCGCGGAGACCGGCGGCGACGGCGGCTGCGGCGGCGGCGACGGCGATGGCTGGGCCGAAACCCTCGGACCGGCAGGGGCAGGACGACCGTCGACAGAACACTCAATAACAGCACCCCCAGAACCAACACCCCCAGAGCGATAACCCCCTCCAACACCAGCAGCACCCCCAAAAGACGCAGGACGAACACCCTCCTCAACTCCAGCACCCCCAGGGGCCAAGAGCGGCGGCGGCAGTGGCGGCGACGACAGCGGCGGCGACGGCGGCGGCGGCGGCTGCAGCGGGGTCGGCGACTGCGACAGTGGGGGCGGAGGCACCGGGGAAGGGGGACGCGGCAAGGACGGACCGGGGGTACCACCAGAGTCAGCAGACTCCTCAACGGGGACAACCGACGGGAGGGGAGTGACGTGAGAGACACCAGACGGGGCAGGACGAGGAGGGAGAGGGGCAGGGGCTACCGGGGGAGAGGGAGCAAGGAAAGGGGGGGGGCAACCGGGAGACCTCGGTAAGGGAAGCGGCGGTAGAAGGAGACAGACTCGTCACAGGTGACGTCACGAGAGTGGAGGAAGCGGTGAGACGGCGGGTGGTAGAAAAGCCAGTCAGACGAGTCCATGGGGAAACCGAGGAAGACACAGGGGAGAGTGCGGGCAGTGAGCTTGTCCGTGCCAGAGGCACGAACGTGAGCAAGGCAGCCCCAGACGTGGAACGCAGACGCGTCACCGGGGGACCCAGTCCAAAGGAGGGTCGGCGAAACCTGCGGCCGCTGGGAGCGTGGCCACAGGTTAAGCTGGTGAGCAGCGTAGCGAACAGCGAACGGCCACAGAAAATGGGGGGCATCGGCATGAATCATGGAGGTACGGGCGACCTCCATGACCAAGCCGATGCGGCGCCCAGCAACCCCATTCTGCTGTGGCGAGTCCGGCAAGGTGTACGACTGGGTGATGCCCTCCGCACGACAGAACTGTACAAGCCGACCAGAGGCGAACTCGCCACCACGGTCTGAGTGGAGAGACAACACGGGGAGATCGCGGTGAAGACGCGCAGCCACAACCCACGGGAGAAGAACGTCGGGCACGTCGGCCTTCCGCTCCAGGGGAAGCACCGTGGTTTAGCGCGTGTAGTCGTCAACGAGCACAAGGAAGTAGCGCTCACCACGCGGTCCGGGGACGGGGGCAGGGCCCCAAACGTCCAGGTGCAGGGTCTGAAGGGGGGCAGTAGCAGAGCGCAACGAGGAGGAGTGAGGGGAGCGGCGGAGCCGGCCCTCGACGCAAGGCGTGCACGGTGGCGCAGTCGAGGGAGGAAGGGCAGGGAGCGATGCAGGGAGACCTAAGACAAGACCGTGCTGGGACATGTGACGCAGACGTGGGAGAGCAGGGTGACCTAGGCGGTTGTGCCAAAGAAGGGACAGGTGAGTGAGGGACCGACACGAGCAAGCTGCAGCGACCTGGGAGGACGCACCAACCGGGGGGGAAGCGGTGTCTAGGGTGAATAGACCGGACACCAGGTCCCGGGGGAAAGTCGCAAGAAGGGAACCTGAGACTAACTCAGAAGAGACAGCGAACCGCTCGTGCCCGGGGAACGTGGTGGTGACGCCGAGGTCCTGGAGACAGCCAACACCAACCAAGTTCCTCAAGAACGAGGGAACATGGAGACCTGTAAGGGATCCCGAGGGAACTGCTGGACAGGGAAGGGACATAGAACTGCGAGCGGCGACAGGACCTGCAGAGGGGTCAGCGAGAGAGACAGCAGCAGGCGTAGCAGGCGGCGTGAGCGTGGAACGGTCGCGGAAGAAGCAGGTAGAAGCACCGGAGTCGAGAGTGAAGGACAGCGAAGCTGTGGCAGAGGCCGGGAACGGAGCCGGTGCAGAGACTAGGCTAGGCAAACGAGGCAGTCCTACGCCTGACGCAGCAGGGGAGGCTAAGCTACACAATGGGGCAACACCTAAACTAGAGTACACAAGGTAATAAGATCCAGCAACACTAGAAGCGTCGGAATACAAAGCATGCAAAGCAGCACCTATCTGATCCATGTCTAACTCAAAGATCGGCACGCCCTGGCGGAGCAGGCTGTGCCAGTCGGGGAGGTCCGGGGCCGGGCCAAAGCGACGACGAAAGAGATCGTCGAGGCAGCGGAAACAGCGGGCGGTCGGGTGCGGGCGGCGGCACAGAGTGCCGCCGAGAGGCCCGGTCTGAAGCTTGTACTGGCAGGGCACAGCACCGGAGCCGCCGGTAGACGCCGAGCTGCGCGGGCCGCCACCACGACCACCACCTCCGGAGGTGCTGGGCCAACCAGGCGGGAGACGGGCCTACGGTTGCGGTGGCTGCTGCTGGGACGGCGGCTGCTGCTGGGGCTGCTCCTGCTGCGGCTGAGGCTGCTGCTCCTGCCCACCGGTGGTAGTCCCCTCAGGCGGACTACCGTCACGACCACCACCACCACCACCACCTGCACCACCACCCCTACCTCCCTGACGACCACGGCCACCGTGGCGCGAGCGCTGCTGCGGGTGGACCGCAGCAGCCGTCTCGGTGCGAGGGGTCGCCGTGGCGAGCGCAGCCGAAACGTCAGTGAACGTGCACTGGGAGGGGGCACAGCCGTGAAAGATAGAGACTGCCGGCGCACCGCTCGACTGAGCGATAGTGCGCTGGCGAGTCTCGATCTTGGTGAGGGTGTCGACAAAGGCGGTGAGGGTGAGGTCACCCGGGTGCTGGCTAAGGAAGTGATCGCGAGCACTAGCGAGGCGGTCTAGCAGGCGCATGGCGATAAAATAGAGCGTCATGCAGAAAGGGGGTGGGAGCGCAGTGAGCTGGGCAGCAGTGCTGGCAGTGCGATAGCGGGCCTCTAGTGCACGTAGGTGAGTGGCAAAGTCTGCGACTGTAGGGAAGGCTGCAAGGTCTGGGAAAAGCATAGGGAAGAGCAGGCGGCCAGCAGAAGCAGACGCGGGTGTGGAATAGCGAGCAATAACGGCGTCTAAGTAAGCTGTGGCCGTCTCAATAGTAGCATAGCGCGAGCGCTCAGACACAGGGAGGGCGTGGCTAATAGCAACCTGAGCGAGTGCATCGCGAGAGTCCCAGACCGCATGGGCAAGCGCAGCAGTAGAGAAGGTCTCACGGTCATCAGATGAGGAGTCAGCAGGGAGGGGAGCAGGTGCGGGGGGGCGGGGGAGCAAGCCATCGACATGGACAACCAAAGAGTGGCCATCCTGGAGCTGACCTGTAAGGTGGCGGCGGAGATCGGAGAGCCAGGCGGCGAAGTCAACCGCATGGCCCTCAGCGTCCAGGCGGAGCACGAAGTCGGCCATCGTGCAGGGTCAGCGGTACAGCTCCACAGCTCCGCGGGAACACAGCGATGCAGGGACACGGCAGCGGCACTCTCCAGCACGGCAGCCGCGAGACGCCCAAGAGCCGGCGAGCAGAGTAGACGGAGCCCGAGGTGGCACGGCAGGCCAAGCAGGCACGAAGAGGGGCCAGGCGAATAGTGGGAGAGGCCAGAGAAACGCGGCGGGGCCAGGCAGGCGCGGGAGGGCCTGGCAGGCGCAGCGGGGCCAGGCAGGCGCGGCAGGGCCAGGCAGGCGCGGCGGGGCCAGGCAGGCTCGGCGGGGCCAGGGAGGCGCGTCGGGGCCAGGCAGGCGCGGCGGGGCCAGGCAGGCGCGGCGGGGCCAGGCAGGCGTGGCGGGGCCAGGCAGGCGCGGCAGGTGTCAGGCAGGCGCGGCGGGGCCAGGTAGGCGCGGCTGGGCCAGGCGGGCGCGACGAGGTCAGGTAGGCGCGGCAGGGCCAGGCAGGTGCGGCGGGGCCAGGGATGCGCGGCGGGGCCTAGCAGGCGCGGCGGGGCCTGGCAAGCGCGGCAGGGGCCAGGCGGGCGCGGCGGGGTCAGGCAGGGCGAGGCGGGGCCAAGCGGGCGCGGCGGGGCCAGGCAGGGCGCGACGGGGCCTAGCAGGCGCGACAGGGCCCAGGAGGGGCGTGACGGGGCGAGGAGGCGCGACGAGGCCCAGGAGGGGCGCGACGGGGCTAGGGGGGGGGCACGACGGGGCCCAAGGGGGGCGCGACGGGGCTAGGGGGCACGACGGGGCCCAGGAGGGTTGCGACGGGGCTAGGAGGCGCAACGGGGCCCAGGAGGGGCACGACGGGGCCCAAGGGGGGGGGGGGGCAAGACGGTGCTAGGAGGCACGGCAGGGCCCAGGGGGGGCGCGACTGGGCTAGGAGGCACGACGGGGCCTAGGAGGCACGACGGGGCCCAGGAGGGGCGCGACGGGGCTAGGAGGCGCGGCGGGGCCCAGGAGGGGCGCGACGGGGCCAGGCGGGCGCGACGGAGCCAGGCAGGGCGCGACGGGGCCTAGCGGGCACGACGGGGCCTAGGAGGCACGACGGGGCCTAGGAGGGGCGCGACGTGGCTAGGAGGCGCGACGGGGCTAGGAGGCGCGACGGGGCCCAGGGGGAAGCTGCGGGGCCTAGCTAGGGTACGGGCGGAAGCGGTAGGTGGGGGATACTAACCTACGCGTGATACCATGTTAAAGTAAGAACTGAATAATGAACTAGAGGTAGAAACCTAGAACAAATACTAGTTGGTTGTACTCACTAAAAGCATGCCTCAGTCTAGCCTATAACTTGTACACAACTAACATGTATAAGTTGACACTGTGTTAGGCCGACCACCAAGCGTTTGTCATTATCAACAAGATCTTTTTCTTTCCCCCCTTTCATGCAACAGCCATGCCGCTCTGCGGATAACCCCTAGATGGAACATTAAATGGATGCCTACTTCTATAGGGCGTGGTTAACCCTTGTACACCTTATTGGCATAATTGGATGTTGTTTAGCTGGAAACCAGATTGTTGCCATCTGTTATGAATGGGACTGCCGAGTAGCGCGGAGGGCAATGGCGAAACTGTGAACGAGTGAATGACAATAAAATGAAAGACAATACAATAAACAGGAAGTCTAGGGTGATCCTGGGCGTAGGATCGGGAAAAGTATCGAAGGGCCTCGATGTGTCGAAGCGAGGTCCGAAAAGGCTCAGGAGGCTCGAACTGAAAGGTCTGGAACCCTATCGCTGGTTGGGGACTGTTCTAGTCGTACGCCCTGTTGCAAGCCTCAGTAAGGAATTACGCATTCCTTACACCATCCCAGTTTACAACACTTGCCGAGCGAGTCTAGAAGTGGTCTCCCATTCGTGCCACGGTGGCATTAATTTTATTCAGCGGTCCGGCTTGTGTCAGTCCGCTTTTCCAGCAGTCACACACTTGGCGACACTGAGTCCACCAGTGGTCCTCGATCCCGCGAAAGTCGTCAGGGATGTACGGTGCACATGGCCCGATTCTTCGCCAGCATGGCATGCGTTGCGAACAAAGCGTTTGTTCATGGCCCGATATTAGCGAACGAATCTTTTCCACATCGCTTTCTCCCCCACAAGGTTCTTGACCTTGAGGGAGCGCTGCACAGATCTCAGGTTACATTTGTGTTACGCCGAAGTAACCAGCAGGCCGTCCAAGCGACGTCATTATCGCTGGGACAAGAAACTAGCCGAGGTATTTGCTTAAGGGTCTTCCACCAGACTTTTACGAACATTGGCGACGTAAGTAGATCTCAGCAGCAGGTCCCCAAGAAGTCCGAACTCTGAACTGGCCGCACTCAAAAACACGGCTTCGAATATCGCTTCGCGTAGGGACCTTATGCAACTGATGGAGTCTGAGGAAGAATCCCTCAGAATCCCTCTCATACTCGTCTGCCTCATATTTTCATTCCAAACCTAAAACGTCGTCATAGTTCAAGTCGCCTTCGTACGACTAGGTGACTTGTGTGCTAGTACGGTTTTTTCCCCCATTCGTCTGGAGCTCGTCGTATAGTCGATATAGGATGGGTTCGACAGTGTTGGTCGGAACCTCTTTATCCGCGCTCGGTAACAGTCGCACAGCCGCCAGTCTGCGACTCTCCTCACTTTCTTGCGTCGCCTGCGATTTACTTCTCGCTTGCTCGTCTCGTCTTCGCTTAGGTAGCTCCGCTGGTAGCGGATTTCCCATCTCTGTATCCGACAGGCACCGGACACCGCTCTTACGGCGTCGAAAAAGAACCGTTCCTCAAGCGATCAGTCAGCTGCGGAACGACGGACACGTGGCGTCCAATAATAGGCCGTCGACAGATGGACAGAAAGGACCCGCCACCCTTAGGGTGGCGGAGTCGCAGCCTGACGGAGTTATCGGCCGGGGTCGAAATGCTAATAGCAGTTCTTTAGCTCGTAACGTTCGTGTTGATAGCACTGCTGCAGTGGCGTTTGTTGATTCGCCGAGCGAGGAGGACACGAGTCGCGAGAAAGACGGAAAAGCGGTCTCGGATGGCGTGGTGCTGACGTGTACTACGTTCAACATGCTCGCGCCTATTTTCAAGCGGATCAACAGAGAGGTATGCTGAGAGTTGTTGTGTTAGAAAGGTGAAGAAGTTGCATGTCCCGCGGCTTGACAGCCAATTACAGGGGAACACTGCAAGGCGAGAAAAACAAAAGGAAAAAAGCACGGCCTTTTCGTTCCTTTTGAAAGATTTTTTTTTTTTTTTTTTTTTTTAAACTCCAGTTGCATCTCTCTTTCTCCCTTCCGTATCGCTCCTGGTTTCCCGGGTGAACCAACAGACTCAGAGAGAGAGAGAGAGAGCGAGTTCCCGGACCTGCGGCTTCCTCGTTGAAGCGGTTTTTAGTCTACTCATTACGAATCAAGCTTCCCCTTTCCTCCTCCCGGCTTCCCGCATGGACCGCAGGGGCCAGGGATAGAGCGAGTTGCGAGAGCTGTAGCTGCCTCGTTTTGAGGCTTCTCGATACGGCTTCTTTTAAAAACTGTACTGCGTTGCCTTTTTCCTCTCCCGGTTTCCCACTTGCACCAACAGGGCCAGAGAGAGAGCGAGTTCCGGGAGCTGTGGCTTCCGCGAAGCGAGCGAATTCTGGAAACCCTAGTGGCGACGGGCTCGTCCATCGTGTGCCTGCAGGAGTGCTGGCTGTCGCACCCCGAGTGGGTCCGCCTCTTCGACTCCGCTCTTGGCGCTGCTGGTTACCGCACACTGAAGCTACCGCGCACCAACAACAGAGGAGACGGTGAGTGGGGGACGGCTCTAGTGTGTAATGAGTCGACTCAAAAATCGACTCATTACACAAGGAGACGGTGAGTGGGGGACGGCTCTAGTGTGTAATGAGTCGACTCAAAAATCGACTCATTACACAAGGAGACGGTGAGTGGGGGACGGCTCTAGTGTGTAATGAGTCGACTCAAAAATCGACTCATTACACAAGGAGACGGTGAGTGGGGGACGGCTCTAGTGTGTAATGAGTCGACTCAAAAATCGACTCATTACACAAGGAGACGGTGAGTGGGGGACGGCTCTAGTGTGTAATGAGTCGACTCAAAAATCGACTCATTACACAAGGAGACGGTGAGTGGGGGACGGCTCTAGTGTGTAATGAGTCGACTCAAAAATCGACTCATTACACAAGGAGACGGTGAGTGGGGGACGGCTCTAGTGTGTAATGAGTCGACTCAAAAATCGACTCATTACACAAGGAGACGGTGAGTGGGGGACGGCTCTAGCGCATTGTTCAACATAGTGCCTGCGGGTGGTTAGTCCATGATGCCTTTGCACGAGTGCTAGCTGTCCCACCCCCAGTGAGGAGGGGGGGTGTGAGTGGGCGCGAGGAGATGGGATATGTCTGCGAGGAGATGAGGCAGTCAATTTGGAGTCTACACTCATGCGTGGGCTCAGGTAAAGCTCTGACGTCCCACCACGCCTTATCGTAGGCGTCAAGCGTTCACAAATGGGCTACCAATAGATGCTTTTCTACCACCGTCAGTTTGCCCTTGCTTCCCTGTTGTCCCTCTCGCCTTTCGCCATGTGCATTCCTACAGGTTTACTGGCAGTCAAGAACGAGCAGTGGCACGTGGTGGACTACCTACCAGCAGCCGCTCTTCACGACTGTGGGGACCTGCCCTGCCCCTGCTACAGCCTTACTCCCCAACCAAACCTGCTCCTCCCTACCCTGTCCAGGCCTAATGATCGCCGTGAAGAACGAGCAGTGGCGCGTGGTGGACTACCAGCAGCTGCTCTTCCACGACTGTGGCGATCGTGTGGCTCAGATCGTCCGGCTGAGATCCAAGGGGCGGCTGGGGGGAAAGAAAGAGGGAGAGGAGGGCGGGCAGGAGGAGCAGCAGGAGGAGGAGGAAGACCTGCTGGTGGTGAACACGCATCTCCTGTTCCCCCACGACGCCAACTCGAACATCATTCGCCTCTGCCAGGTGGGTCCCTGCTCCCTCTCCCTCTTTCGATTTGTCGAGTAGAGTGAGGGAGAGGGAGGAGGGAGAAGAGCAGCAGCAGCAGGAGGAGGAGGAGGATCTGCTGGTGGTGAACATGCATCTCCTGTTCCCGCACGACGCCAATTCCAACATCATCCGCCTCTGCCAGGTGGATCTTCAGGCTCCCTTCCTTGTTGCGAGAGGGGAATGACGTGGGGAAGGTGGAGCATGGGGGGGAAGCGGGGGATGGGGGCGGGGTTGTGATGGGAGGTCACAGCGCCAGTGTGGGTAATTCTCCCGTTCCCATCATATGTTCTCCCGTTCCCATCATATGTTCTCTTCGCTCGCCTGGCTTTTCTGTCAGGTAACAGGTTCGCCCCTCTCGCTTTGCATACTCCGTTTTAACATCCAAACTCACACACTTCTTCTCGGTTATCTATTCTATGTCTCCCTCTGCACCACATCCGCGTTATGGCATGCCTTGTTTCATGACACTCATGGTTTGTTGCCTGACATGTCATGGCATTTCGTTACTGATTTGCCATGCCACATTTGGTATGGCATGTGGCTTGGAATGCATTGTCCTGTTGCCATAACGCCAGGTGTACAAGCTCTTGGAGCGAGTGGAGCAGTGCAGATCAGAGCAGAGTGGCAGACCCGCCCCGGTTATCCTGTGCGGGTAGGTTCTCATTGCCAGATCCTTTCCTTACGCGCCCCTCCCTTCCCCCTTTTCCTCTTCCCCCTTCCCCCTTCCCCCTTTTCCTCTTCCCCCTCGTCCCGGCGATCTCTATGGCACCATGGGAGGCAACGTGTGCAAGCTGCTGCGCGCACAGCTCTTCCCGTGACTACGTCTCCCTCATAGCGTGGCTGTCCCTTTGCCTCCTTCCCTCGCACACCCCTCTCAGAGTCCTCAACGGCAACAAGGAGGGCAACGTGTGCAAGCTGCAGCGCTCAAACCTAGGCTTGAGGGTCCTCCTCTTACTCCCCCTTCACCTTGCCCCTTCCCCCTCCCCCTTCCTTGTCCCCCTCCCCCCCTCTCATCGCAGTGATCTGAACGGCACCAAGGAGGGCAACGTGTACAAGCTGCTGCGCTCACAGGGCTTCCTCTCCTCCTATGACACAGCACACCATCTCAATGACGTGGATGAAAAGGTAGATGACGTGGATGAGAAGGTAGCTGACGTGGATGAGAAGGTAGATGACGTGGATGAGAAGGTAGATGACGTGGATCACAGGGTAGACTCCTCATAGATCCCTCTGCTCCTACAACACTGCACACCATCTCATTGACGTGCAAGAAGGCTTTTGAGCTGCCTATGTGTGGATGTGCCACTGGTGCAAGTTAACATGAGAAGGAGTTTGTCTTCTCCTTCGCCCTCCTTCATCTGACTCCCTGACCCTCTCTGATCAGTGCGGCCTATGTTTGAGGCGCCGCAAAAACAGACTCCTCTCTCTGATCAGTGCCGCCAGGCGGTGTTTTCGGGGTGGGCTCTGTGCTCCCGACCTCCCTCCCCTTCTCTCCCTTGGTGCTTATTCCGACTGCTGCCCCTTACCCCCTTGCTCTCTGCTGTAGTGGGTGAGGCACCGCAGCCACAGGGGCAACGCGTGTGGATGATTTTAATCCGTAAACCTTCTCCCCCCCCTTACCATTTTCCTTGTCGCCCCTCCCCAACCCTCACTTCTAGTGGGTGAGCCACCGCAGCCACAGGGGAGACGTGTGCGAGGTGGGCTACGTCTGGCTGGATGCTGCTGCCTTTGCCTGGGGTGTTCCGTCCTTACCTACTCTTTCCCGTCCCTTGCTCTCTGCTCTTTGCTCTTTGCTCGCCTCCAGTGGGTGAGCCACCGCAGCCACAGAGGAGATGTGTGCGGGGTGGACTATGTGTGGATGCTCAACGCCAGCACGCCCATGAGCAACCCCGTTTTAAACTGGCGGAAAGCAGTGTTCGGGTTAATCAAGGTATGACTCGTCTCTCCTCTACCTCTTCTCTAGTTCGAGAATGCTTAGAGCCAAAGCCAGCACGCCCATGAGCAATCCAGTTCGTAACTGGCGGAAAGCAGTGTTGGGGTTAATGCCAGTGCCCCTCAAGTGTTTGGATGATCAATGCCAACGCACCCGTGAGCAATCCTGTGCTGAGCCCATCACCGCAGACAAGTGGTTTGCAGGAAACAAAGGCGAGCCCACCGCTCATACTCTCGTGCTTCCTTCATTGTTGCTTTCCTTTCCGGCCGAACCTGGTCGTCCCAAGTCATCCCATTTCACCTGTGTCCCGTTCGCGCCCAGTGTCGGTTTTCTGTGCGTCTGTTATACCAGCTGCTATCAGTGGAAGCTGCTAACAGCTGGTTATAACAGACGCATGCAAAACTTCCCAGTTCTTTGCCACAGCTGAAGACCACCCCCCTCCCCCCCCCCCTTCAGACACACGGTCTGGTCCAGCTGAAGTCGCATTTTCTTCTGTGCAATCCCCTGCTGTCTCATGTCCTACCACCTCACTCCACTCTCCCCCATTCCGAAAGTCGAAGCTTCTCGGAGCTGGGATCACACGAATGCATGGAAGACACTCCAGTTACAGCGCGAGACACCCCCCCCTGCAAGCACATTGTCCGCTTCCTCCATAGTCACCTTCCCCTCCATCCCATCCTGTCTCCATCCTCTCCAACGACCCCTGTTTCATTGACCCCTCCAGTCGAAGCTTCTAGCAGCAGGAATCACGGACGCGCGCCACGCCTTTCAATTCTTTGCCACAGCCGGCGACACCTCCCCCTACGAGCACACCGTGTGCTTCACCGACCCAAACGCCACCGGCGCTGTTGACATCAGCGTGGATTACGGGCGGCAGCAGGGTGATACCAATGCGATCGAGAAGAGTGAGAGTGAGAGTGAGAGTGGTGAGGAGGAGGACGAGGAGGCGTGGCGCTTCTACGACAGTGACGAGGAGGGCAGGGAGAGGCAGGAGTGCTGCATCACTGCGTTCACCATTGAGGACTTCCAGCTGGCTGTGGCGCAGGTGGGTGGGACTGGGGCAGTTAGAACTGGGGCTGGTGGGAGTGGTAAGTGGGGATCGGTGGGGAGAGTAGGTAGGAGGGCAGGGAGAGGCAGGAGTGCTGCATCACTGGTTTCACCACAGGGACGGGTGGGTGGACTTCAACGAGTTCCAGGACATGTTTCAGCAGCCCCTCTTCCCTCCTCCCTTTCCCCACTGTGCTCTCACCGCTCCCTCCCCTCCCCTCCCTCCCCTTCCTCTCTCTTTTCCAGCTGGGGCTAACCGGCGACAATTCTATTGGCCTGACAGAAGTTGAGGTGATGGAGCTAATGCAGGGGGCGGACACGGACGGGGACGGGTGGGTGGACTTCAACGAGTTCCAGGACATGTTTCAGCAGCCCACGTGGGACTCCAGGGTCGACACTCTTAAGCAGTCCATGGCTGCTTCCCTTGCTGCCTCCCTCGCCGCCACCTCTGCGACCTCCTCTGCTCCTGCCTCTGCATCTGGCTCTGCTTCTGCCGCTGCTGCCTCTGTCGCTTCTGCAACTGCTGCTGCCACTGCTGCCACTGTTACCAGTGCCTCTCGCACTTCGTCCTCAGCACCTTTGTCTTCGTCTTCAGTGTCCAGCAGAAATCTAAGTGGCTCGGTACAACAGGAGAGCCAGCAGCAGCAGCGGTGGGAGGAGAAGGAGCAGGCAGTGCTGCAGGGGGAGCAGCCGTATTGGGAGAGTCGCAGGGGATTGAATGTGGAGGGTGAAGCCGCACAAAGGAGCAACCACTGCAGAGATGGCAGCAGCAGCGCTGGTGCTGATGCTGATGCTGATGCGACAAGGGCAAGTGGAGGAGAGGAAATGGAGCGGGTGGGGAGTGGAAGCCATTTTTTCGGCACTAACGCAGGAGGAAGCGTACCGGAAGGGTTGGGTGCAGTCGAGGAGTGTGAAATAGAGCCGAGCAATAGAGGATTGAGTTTGTCTGTGTTGAAGGCTTCACTGTTCCCACCTGAGATGGAGGAGGGGAGATGGCCGGAGGAATACACCTTGTCTGACCATGCCGTGCTCACTGTGATGTTTGGGAGGGAAAGGGAAGAGGTAAGGGAGTAACGTTTGTGTGGTAGAGAGGCGATGTGAAATGCTGAAATTCATGATTATTTTGTTTCTGGAGGCAGTTGAACCGAATGGCATGCGGCAATGTTGCTGCATGCAATGTACTGGTATATGAGAAGATGGAAGTCGTTAGTTACATTTTGTTGCCATGAAGTCACTCGCATCATTGTTTGTTCAACCCTTACTAGTTTGCGTGTTCCTCAAGGCTGCCGCCTTTCTTATATCGGATTTGGAGAGGTCAGGGATTCTCGTGTTTCGCGCCACTTCTGAGGGAGTGCAGCCTCTCCACTCGAGTTGCGCAACTGGTTGCGCACCTAGCGGATAAACGTCGCTTACGAAGAGTGTTACCAGGGTTACGATCGAGGTAATCGGCTTGAAGTGATCGTCAGATTTTCAGACGAGCCGTGACGAAAAGGGTTACCATGACGAGTTGCGTACCCCGCCCAAGCTGCGCAACTCATGTTTCGCAGATGCTCCACGCTCTTATCTTCGCTCTCATGGTGACAGCACTTTCCTCCGCCCGTAGCTCTCTGTAGCTCTTAGGATTCAGGAATGCGACCAGAGCTGCCAGTGGTGCATGGAAGACTAGCCCCGTGACAGGACGCACAGGATAGCCTTCGGAAGGCCGCTTCAGGCGAAGCTGGTTCGCGATCGGATTTAAACGAAGCTATTTTGGGCGTGTCAATAATAAATTGCTTGATCGAACGCCAATAATCTGATGGTCTTGCCGTGTGGTGGCTCGTCGTTGGCTCCGCGACATCCTCGATGACGACGAAACTATGTTACCGCTGTGGCGAACAAACCCTCGCGATACCTTTGGCGAACTCGACCTCGTAGTAGCATTCGTCCTGAATTCTGTCGCAGCCCGCCTTACCCGTTAGTCCCACTTCTTAGCTGTCGCCTATAGTCTCCTCACCTTAGTTCCCCTCGTTGTACCCATTATAGTCGCCCCGATTCATGAGGATTGATGCTATTGGGCCCTAAGACAGTCGCCTAATCCTTTTTACTAGCAGCAGCAGCAGCAGCAGCAGCAGCAGCAGCACCAGTTTTAGCAGCACTAGCAGACTTTCCGCCAAGAGAATTGAACGCGCCAGCATGGCTGGTGACGGCGGCGGCGGAGCCGGAGGCGCGGGAAGGCGCGGGTCCGCGCTGGCACAGGAGCTGCTGCTGTACGTGTGCAGCGCGGGGATCAGCGCGCTCGTGCTCATGTTCACTTTCCGCCAGCTCGACCCCAACCGCGCGCAGGCGAAGATCGCCGCGCAGCGGAAGAAGGAGATCGCCAAGAGGTTGGGCCGGCCGTACATCCAGACCAACGCGTATGAGGTGCGTGTCACTGGATGTCAGTGGGTATCAGGGGGTGTCAGTTGGTGTCAGTGGGTGTCAGTGGGTGTCAGCGGGTGTCAGTTGGTGTCATTTGGTGTCACTGGATGTCAGGGGGTGTCAGGGGGTGTCAGGGGGTGTCAGTTGGTGTCAGTGGATGTCAGCGGGTGTCAGCGGGTGCCACTGGATGTCAGTTGGTGTCAGTGGGTGTCAGTGGGTGTCAGCGGGTGTCACTTGGTGTCAGTTAGTGTCAGCGGGTGCCAGCGGGTGTCAGTTGGTGTCAGTTGGTGTCAGCGGGTGTCAGCGGGTGTCAGTTGGTGTCAGTTGGTGTCAGCGGGTGCCAGCAGGTGTCAGTTGGTGTCAGTTGGTGTCAGCGGATGCCAGCGGGTGCACGAGCGGCTGCTCTTCAGGTTCCGCAAGCTCGACCCCAACCGCGCGCAGGCGAAGAATACCACGCAGTGGAAGAAGGAGACGTGTTGGCAAACGATTTGATCGACGTGAGCAGCATAAACGTCACGTTTGACTCCATCCCTCTCTCTGTCCCTCTCTCGTGACGTCACATTTGACTCCATTCCAAAAGTCCCCTCCCGATTCGATCTAAAACACTGTGTCTCCATTCCGTCTCTATCTGTCTATTGTCCCCATCAGGACGTGATAGCGAACGATGTGATAAATCCGAACATAGCCATCACCTTTTACTCCATCCTTCCCTCCATCCGTCTCCATCCTTTTCTATCCCTCTCTATCCCTCGATTCTCCCCATCAGGACGTGATAGCGAACGACGTGATCAACCCGCAGAACATAGACGTCACCTTTGATTCCGTGGGCGGCTTGCACCACGTGAAGCAGTCGCTGCACGACCTCGTCATCCTCCCTCTGCAGCGACCAGAGCTCTTTGCCCAAGGCAAATTGCTGCGGTGGGTCCTTGTGCTGACGTCATCGTGAGAGCGAGAGTAACATTTCCCACGGGTGGCTTGCACCACGCGTGAAGCAGTCTCTGCACGACCTAGTTATCTTTCCGCTGCAACGGCCAAAGCGCTTCGCCGAAGGCAGGCTGCTGCGGTGAGTATTGTTGTGGCTGCACTGCAGCGAGGCGGACCGCCTCATGTGAGCAGCAGTCGTTGCATGACCTCCTCATTCTCCCGCTGCAACGGCCAGAATCCATATTTGAGGCGCCTGGAAACAAGAATAGGCGGGTTGCCTCGTGTGAGTGAGGAGTCTTTGGATGATCTCCTCATTCTCCCCCTGCAACGACCAGAACCCTTTGCACAAGGACGCTTGTTGCGGCGAGAAGGCGATTGTGACAATGGAGGTTGTCTCTAAAGGAAGTTTGGCTTTACAGATGGCTTGCACCTCGTGAAGCAGTCCCTGCATGACCTCGTCATCCTGCCCCTGCAGCAACCAGAGCTCTTTGCTCAAGGAAGATTGTTGCGGTGAGTACGGAGAGTGCCTTATAAGATACTTGTACTCTATGGGGCTGATTCCACCCCGTGAAGCAGTCCCTGCGCGAACTCTTCATCCTCCCATTGCAACGGCTAGAGCTGATTGCTCAAGGACGATTGTTGCAGTGAGGACTCTTCATATGTTCTCATGGCGAAGCGAACCTAATAGATGGTCGCAACACGTGAAGCAGTCCGAGCATGGCCTCGTCATTCATTCTCCCTCTGCAATGACCAGCCACACCAGCCACACCAGCCACACCAGCGAGACCAGCCACACCAGCCAGACCAGACAGACCAGAGCTGCTTGTCCAAGGCAGGCTGCTGCGCTGTGAGTCCACCGGGGATGGGCAAGACATTGCTTGCCAAGGCAATTGCCTGCCAAGGAGTGCAGAGCGGTGCTCATCAACGTGAGAAGTGGGGACCATCGTGGGGCTAGACATGATCAAAATGCGATTGCGATTTAAATCGCATCGCATGCAGGTGCGATGTTTAAAAAAGCGATGCGATTTTAAATCGCATCGCGCGATTTATTTTTCAAAAAAAAAAAAATCGCACATCGCATTTTACCCGCGATGTATTAATAAATCGCATGCGATATTTAATTAAATCGCAAAATGCGATTTTAAATCGCATCGCGTTTTAAAACAGAAATAAAAAACACCCCAAAAAAACAGAAAAAAACCATGGCTGCGGGGAAATTGACTCACGGGCAGTCGTAAGCTAGAGTGCAAATAACCAGTGTGGTTTCGTAGTGGGTTTCAGAGTGGGTTTCAGTGCAATATCGCGCGTGATTTTTAAAAAATCGCATATCGCATTTAAATCGCGTTTTTTAAGCGCGATTAAAATGCGATTTAAATTAAATCGCGCGATATTAATTCATCGCATCGCGCGATGATTAAAAAAAAAAAAAAAACATCGCCATCGCAAAAACGCGATTAAATGCGATGCGATGCGATTTTTTTTGCCCATGTCTACGTGGGGCTAACATCCCGCCCTTGGTGTGTCTCTGTCTTGTAACTGCCCCCCCCCCCCCCCCCCCCCCCCTCTTGCAGGCCTCAGAAGGGAGTGCTGCTGTACGGCCCACCAGGCACGGGCAAGACGCTCCTAGCAAAGGCGATTGCCAAGGAGTGCAGAGCGGTGTTCATCAATGTGCGGATTGCCAACCTCATGAGCAAGTGGTTCGGGGATGCTCAGAAGCTAGGTGCGTGAGGGGGTGGGGGGGGGGGGAGGGGGGTACGCTGGTACTTGCCAGCCTCATGAGATAGTAGTTCGGAGTTAGAGGGGTGGGGAATGTCCGGGAGCAGCAACAGCCGCATCTAGTGGCTGCTGATGGCACCTGCTACGGACGTGGCTGGTACTGTTTCTGGCGTGACTGCTGATGGCAAACAGACAATTTGATGACTGATTTTCAGTCTCCCTCCTCTCTCCTGCCTCTCCTGCGGCCTGCCCCTCCCCCCCTTTCCTTCGTTACAGCCACAACAGTGTTTTGAGTCGACTCAAAATAGTTGCAGTCACAACAGTGGTCACACTAGCGCACAGGCTGGAACCAGCCCTCGTGTTCGCCGGCGAGGTCTACTCCTTCATGGGGCAGAGGAAGCAGCTGGCCAGGGTACCGTATTCGCTTTTTCTCCTTGTCCTCCTAGTTTTCCCCCTCGTTACAGTCACGGCGGTGTTCACTCAAGCACACAAGCTCCAGCCGGCCATCATATTCATCGACGAGGTCGACTTCTCCCTTGGGCAGCGGTGGCAGACAGTTAGACATTCAAGACTTTCTCTCACTTCCCTCTCTCCTCCCTCTCTCCTCCCACTCTCCTGCACCCACCTCATCTCACCTCGTTACAGTCACATCAGTGTTCACTCTAGCTCACAAGCTGCAGCCGTCCATAATTTTCATCGACGAGGTCGACTCCTTTTTGGGGCAGCGGGAACAGCTGACTGCAACATTTGACTCACTCGTTCGTCTCTCTTTCATCGTCCCTGCTCTTCCACTTCCTTTCCTTTCCATCCTTCCCCTTGCTCGTTACAGTCACAGCAGTTTTCACTCTAGCTCACAAGCTCCAGCCGGCCATCATATTCATCGACGAGGTCGACTCCTTTTTGGGGCAGCGGCGGCAGACGGAGCACGAGGCGGTTACCAACATGAAGACGGAGTTCATGTCGCTGTGGGACGGATTCAGCACGGATGGTAAGAAGGTGCTGGGAGCATCCAACGTATGCATGCACTATTGAGCGAGCGACGGAGCACGAGGTGGTGACGGGCATGACGACCGAGTTCATGTCCCTTTGGGATGGGTTAAGCACGGACGGATGGTGGGGTGGGTGGGTGGAAGGGAGGCAGGGGACGGTAGAGAGGGGGGAGGAATGTTGGCATGCAGCATGGAGTGCCATGAGGCAGCAGACGGAGCACAAGGACGCGGTTGCCAGCATGAAGTCGAGATTTATGTCGCTGTGGAATGGCTTCAGCACGGACGGTGGGTTATGAGGTCTATGTTACGTGCGCTATATAGTGGGTGGGTGGGGTAGGAGCCAGAGTGTGTGCTCGAAGCAAGCAGACGCAGCACGAGGAGGTGGATACCAACACCAAAACCCAATCCACGTCGCTGTGGGATGGTTTCAGCACGGGCGGTGGATGGTGGGCGAACGGGTGGGTAGGTGCATGCGATTGATGGACCTGGCAGCAAGCAGTGGGTCGCACCAGGCCTTGTGCAAGATGTGGTGATGAGCAAGCGCTTTCTGTTTTCCTCTCTCCTTCCACCACCCTCGCTCCCCCTTCTTATTTTCTCCCATTTCTCCCATTTCTCCCAGTTCCCCGCTGCCCCCCCCCCCAGGCACGGCGCGGGGGATGGTGCTGGCAGCCGCCAACCGACTGTCGGAGTTGGATGAGCCCATTCTGAGTCGGATACCCCTGCCCCCCTCGCCCCCCTTAACCCACCTTTAACCAAAACCCCCCTCCCTCCCCCCCGCCCACCTCCTCCCCATCTAACCCCTCAGACACGGCGCGCGTGATGGTGCTGGCAGCCACCAACCGGCCGTGGGAGTTGGACGAGGCAATTCTGAGGCGCCTGCCCCGGCACTTTGAGATCCCCCTGCCGGACCTGGTTGGCAGAACCAGCATTCTGAATGTGATTCTGCGGGTATGTGCATGAGGTCATGTGGCGTGACGTTAAGGAGAGTTGAGGGCGCCTGCTGAAGCGCTTTGAGATCCCGTTGCCACACCTGGTTGGCAGAACCAGCTTTCAGCACTACACTGCGGGTATGTGATTGTGAAGAGGGTGCGAGTGAGGTTATGTGACCATAAGGAGATTCTGAGGTGGCTGCCAAGGCATTTTGAGATCCCCTTGCCGGACCTGGTTGGCAGAACCAGCATTCTAAGTGTGATTCTGCGGGTATGTAAGCCTTAAAGCCCGAGTCCCAACTTGCCTGCCGCGTGGTTCAAGTTTTAGAAACTTGAAACCCCACGTTTTGTGGGTGTATTTTTCACGAAACTGGGGCTACGCTCATCACGAAGGCACCTGATTGGTTCAAATCTTGACTGGGGAGGTTTGGGTGGGTTGGCCTGCGTAAACTTGAAAATGGGGTCATTGCAATCTGGGACTCTTGCAACTCAGCCAAGCTCCTGCCCCCTGTGGATTGCTGATTCAGCAAAAAACAAACTCTCGCTAGAAATTTCACGAAAGCAAACCTCTCGTCAGTCCAAACCCAACTACCTAGGTCTTGTCATGTTTCTAAAGCATGAACGATTTGGGCTGCGGGCTTTAAGTCGGCGTGAGGCTAACATTAAGGAGAGTCCAAGGTGCCTGCGACAGCACTTGGAGATCCCCTTACTGGACCTGGTTGGCTGGACCAGCACATTGCAAGTGACACTGTGGGTACGTGACTCTGAAGAGGGTGCGAGGTTATGTGACAACAAGGAGAGCCAGCAGGGTAGAGCCGGGTACAGTGGTGTACAGTGGGGTACAGCACGGTACAGCAGGTGGGACCTCTGAGTTGACCTAAAAGTGAGACTTTGAAGGGGGTATGAGGTTAGGTTAGGTGACAATCAGAAGTTACAGCAGGTTCTGATCTCTCTTGTTCTCCACCCCACTCCAACCTTCCCCGTTGACAGGGCAAGAACGTGGAAAGAGACTTGGACATCTAGGACGTTGAATCCCAGAGTGCAGGGTGCAGCAGCTTGGGTCTCTCAGAGCTCTTTTCACAGAGGTGTTTTCACAGAGCTGTTTTCCCTCCCCACTCGTGCCCCGAGCCAATTTTCTTCTCTTCCTCCCCTCCTCCTTCCCATCAACCACCTGGTGAAGAACGTAGATAAGGACCTCAAGGAGAACGCCTTCCTGTGTGCGGGGCACAGCGGGTCGCACCTCGCAGAGCCTCATGTTTCCACCCCCCCTTTTCCTCATGTTTCCATCCCCTTCTCCTCTGTTCCCCTTCGCGTCTCAGGACGAGGATGTGGATGAGGACTTGGACCTCAAGGAAATCGCCGCCCTGTGCGCGGGCTACAGTGGGTCGGACCTCACCGAGCTGTGCAAGCAGGCGGCGTACCTCCCCCTGCACGACTTCCTGGAGGACGAGAGGAGGGCGCTGGTGGGCGACGGGAAGGTGAGAGGTGATGCAGGAATGGATGGGTGGTGAGTGAGTGCCATTTGACATTGCGCTCAGGCGGCGTGCCTCCCGCTGGACGAAGGAGAGGAGGGCGCTGCAGGGCGACAGGAAGGTGAGCGATGATGCATGAAGGGATGTGTAGTGTGTGGTGACATGCTGCAAAGATGCGGCTGATCTCCCGTTGCACGACTTTCTAGAGGAGGAGAGGCAAGTGCTGCAGGGCAGCACCAAGGTGAGAAGGGAGGTGGAAGGGAGGGTAGGCGAAGAGAAGCGAGAGGTGGTCGCCCGGGCCAGAGCAGTGCAAGCAGGCAGTGCAAGCAGGCAGTGCAAGCAGGCAGTGCAAGCAGGCAGTGCAAGCAGGCAGTGCAAGCAGGCAGTGCACGCAGGCAGTGCAAGCAGGCAGTGCAAGCAGGCAGTGCAAGCAGGCAGTGCAAGCAGGCAGTGCAAGCAGGCAGTGCAAGCAGGCAGTGCAAGCAGGCAGTGCAAGCAGGCAGTGCAAGCAGGCAGTGCAAGCAGGCAGTGCAAGCAGGCAGTGCAAGCAGGCAGTGCAAGCAGGCAGTGCAAGCAGGCAGTGCAAGCAGGCAGTGCACGCAGGCAGTGCAAGCAGGCAGTGCAAGCAGGCAGTGCAAGCAGGCAGTGCAAGCAGGCAGTGCAAGCAGGCAGTGCAAGCAGGCAGTGCAAGCAGGCAGTGCAAGCAGGCAGTGCACGCAGGCAGTGCAAGCAGGCAGTGCAAGCAGGCAGTGCAAGCAGGCAGTGCACCTGCCACTGCATGACTTCCTGGAGGATGAGTGACAAGCGCTGCAGGGTAAGGGGCGGGTGAGTCAGAGAGTGGGAGAAGTAGTGAGAGGTTGTTTCCAGAGCTGTTCAACCAGACGGCGTACCTCCTGTTGCATGATCTCCTGGAGGATGAGAGGCGGGCGCTGCAGGGCAAGAGGTAGGTGAGGAAAGGGGGAGAGTAGAAGAGAAGAGAAGGGAAGGAACAACACGTTTTATTTACAGATTTGTGCAAGCAGGGAGTGTACCTGCCTCTGCACGAATTGTGGAGGATGAGGGACGAGCGCTGGAGGGGAATGAGAAGGTGAGAGATGATGCAGGATTAGGGGTAGTGGAGTGCTGTTGGCAGGTGGCAGAACAGCCTCCGTATGTTCTGAAGATGAGAGGTGAGTGCGGCAGGGGACGGAACGCTGAAGGTTGACACAGAAGCAGTGTTGAGAAAGAAGGGGGTTTGTGAGAGGTTGCTGCAGGGGATTGGGAGGTGAGCGTGGAGAGGGGTGGGTGGAAGGGAGATTGCTGCACGACGTATCACTGGCACGCATTGTCTTCGACGCATACGAAGTGGTGTTGATCACAGTCCTCCCTATAATCACTTCGTGTTTCATTCAGTTCACTTGCTCTCCTCCTCCCCTCCTCTCCTCATCTTCCCCAAGTGAGCTTGACTAATTTCATTACAGAGTGGACATTAGAGGACGAAGCTGAGCTTAGAGCATCACCAGCAGTAAGGAGCCGTCGCTCTATTTTGAGTGTCAGTGACGAGCTCCTGCTTCTGGCAGGAACCGCCGTAAGTCCTGTTGAATTGATCGCTGAGTGGTTAGAGATGGATGATAAGAACTTAAGTGATCACATGGTTGGGAATCTTGCTGTATGAAGCGAGGGCGAAGAAGAGTCATTGATGACAACATACAAGCTTCTGAGGGTTGCTGATGTGGTTGTCAAGATCGGTTGCTTTGCTTTGGTGGACAAGAAACGCTGCGAAACAGGCCCACCTCAGCAAAGCGGCTGACCTTGACAGCCACATCAGTAGAGCTGAAAGGCTTGTATGTCGCCATGATTTTGCAGGGTGTTTTTGAGAATTCTATAAAACACCCTGCAAAATCGCCATCAGTGACTCTCCGTCACCCTCGCTTCATCCAGCAAAATTCCTAACCATGTTATCGCTAAGGTATTCCTCGTTCATCCCTGTCCACTTAATGATAAATTCACCAGGGCTCACGAAGGTTCTTGCAAGGAGCAAGAGCTCGTCGCTAACACTCAGAGCGGCACGATGGCTCGTCACTCCTGGCAATGCTCTCAATTCTGCCTCGTCCTCGAGTGTACACTCTGTAAGCGCAAGCGCAGCAGCAGCAGTGCCAGCCTGCCCCACCTCGGGGAAGACCGCAACCCCTACTCGCTTGCCATTAATTTCTCAATTCGTATCAAACCCCCCCCCCCCCCCCCCCCCCCCCCCCCCCCCCCCCCCCCACACACCTCTCCCCTGTCTATTATGCCCCATCTCCCTACTCACAGGAACCAACGTCTCAACGCCCACTTTCCCGGGCAGACTTTCTCCGAGTTCTGAGCGAGTCCCGCCCATCTAAAGACGCGGCGTTTGACTATCTGCGCAAGCGCAGTGGAAGCAGTGCCAGCCTGCCGCACCTGGGGGAAGACCCCAACACTTCTGCCGCCTTCCCATCGTACCCGTATGGAGGTTCCCGCACCCCTCCCACTGCCTTCGGTGCTCCCACTCCCCCTACGGCTGCCCCGCAATCAGCGCAGCACGCAGATCTGCTTCGGCTGCTATTCCAGGCAGCGGTGGCGTCAGCGTTGCAGCCGCAGCCACAGCCACAGCCACAGGGGGTGCAGCCACAGGGAGGGGAGCAGCAAGCTATGCAGCAGCAACGAGGTGGGCAACAAGTGTTGCAGCCACAAGTTGGGCAGCAGGAAACGATGCACATGCACCCATGTGAAGGGGATTCGGGCTCTGGTGATAGCGCTGCTGGCAATGGTGGTGCTACTTCTGGTGCTGCTGTTGAGGGTGCTGGTAGTGGTTCCACGGGTGGGGAGAATGGTACAGTGAACAATAATGACGATGCGGATGCTGGTGTTGGTGTTGGTGGCGTGAATGGTGATTTGCATGATGGTGGTGGCAGTGGTGCGAGCGGCGCTAGCAGTTGAAGTGTTTTTCGCTAAACAGCTCGTTTATTTCTGGTAGTAGTTGATTGATGGGATTAATCAAATTAAAAATAACTTGAACCATCTAGCAAAACTCATAATAGAAGTAAAACCAATGTGGAGACCGATGTTTTCCTGTAAGGGACACGGTTAGACTGGTGATGCTCTAATGTGGAAGTTCGATGCTTTCTGTAAGCATGCCTTCCGGGTCGGGGCATCGATGTGACTTTCATAGCGGGCTCCACCTGCAGCTCAGTGACTAGGACCGAGGTTCAGCTTATCTGTTACTCTGTAATTAGACTGTAGTTATCGCTTGAAATATGTCGAACCTTGAAAATCTGATCCACCCATCGACTGCTCCCCCACCCACCCCCCCCAGCGCCCCCCACAAACGCCCTCTCGTGGCACGCAGAAGTCCAAGACACGACGACGGTTGGGTCCTGCTTTGGAAACACGGCCTTTCAAAGCGGATGGTCCATTCTTGCAGGCAATCCCCAGGTCAGCCAACAACTCGCAAGAAAATATCTCTGCCACGAGGAATAAATATCACCAGCTTAGCTGCAGCTAAACCCTCTTTTGCCTTCACCCTACTTTCAGGAAAACTCATTCGGACCACCATTACCGATCCATGGCGTGCCTCCGCTTCTCGTTCCTTTCCATGACTGTCGCTCCTAGCACCTCCTTCTCTCAGCTCTACCGATTTCAGGCGCCTCCTGATCAAGGCGGTAGCGAAACTAGTTGCTAGTAGGCGACAGATCGACCAGACTACAGCAGTCCTGGATCTTAGTAACATTTCTAAGATCCCAGGAGGACAAACTTCCTGGGGACAGAGAAGCTTCAGCCCGCTAGATCGATGTTAGCGGGCTAAGCGACCTGCATTACCGGTATATGCTCGTCTGGGCATGGCGTGGTGAAGAGTTTTACAACGAGGTTTTGACTCAGTAGCCCGTTAGGTTTATGATAGCGGGCTAAGAGACCGACATTACCAATAAATGTTCGTCTACGCATGGCGTGATGAAGAGTCTAATAGCGGGGTTCTTAGGATACGGATGTCCCATCTAAGATATTAGGTACCGTAAAAGCTACCGTAAGTCGTCCCCACGGCGCTTTCTTCTCCGCGCTTTCTTCCTCCTCCTTAGGCGTTCTGCCAGCACGCGTACTTCCCCATTCATTTCACCTGACGACCGCATTGTTTCACTCACCTGCCACAGCAGCTCTGCTCATCAGGCTCTGCTGCCAGAAGCCGCCATCGGGATAGTGCATAACGCATAGCCCTAGGGCTATCTATTTCTGCCTTTCGTCTTCCGTAGCGCATTAGTTGGCCACCTACCTACCAGAGCAGCTGTGCTTGTCAGGCTTGCGAGAGGGACCTCGTCCGTGTTACCTACTGCTTCTGATCGTCCAAGCGTCGCAACAACAGATTCCGCGACAAATGGGGAAGAGTAAGTCTCGTTCGTCCTCGTCCCGTGTGATTTCGTCCGTCGAGTCCCTCCATCCGCGTTTCTGCCCCTGTTCCGTCGTTAACTCACCTGTTATTTTTTCTCGGATTCATGCTCGCGCGGCGGTGGTTCTGGTCGCAGTCACGACGCGGAAGACGAGGGCACGGCGACAATGAGTCGGCTCAGGAAGCGAGGCGGTCCCCTCTGTTCAGGCACCCCTGCCCGTCTTCTTTCTCCCACAGAAAAGAGTTCCCGCGGGTCTGGTCGCGGCGACGACGTGGGCGACGACGACACGGCGAGCTGCGGCGCTCGAAATGACTCGGTCGAGGCGAATGCTTGCTTCCTCCGCTAATGCTTTTCCTCCGCTCCTCTCTTCTCCTCTCCCTCGCCTTCTTTGCATAGAAGAGCTCTCGCAGCTCTGCTCGCGGCGACGACGCGGCGAGAAACGGCTATTTAAATCGACTTCTGCCTCTGCCACTGACCCGTCTCCCCGCGTGCTGCCTCTCGCAGAAAAGAGAAGATGCGAGCTCTCGCAGCTCTGCTTGCGGCGGCTACTATGCGAGCGAGCAACATTTTTTTATCATCTGCCTCCTCTGCTACTGCGCGCTCTTCCCTCCCCGGACGCTTGTTTTTATCGCAGAGAAGAGCTCTCGCAGCTCTGCTCGCGGTGGCGACGACGCGGACGACGACGACACGGCGAGCAGCGCGTCGTCGGCGTGCGACCTTCCTGCCGTGCACACGGGCGCGCGCGACGACGTGTACTGCGCGGCGTCGGCGACCGAAGCGCTGCTGGACGCGCTGCAAGAGAAGAGGTGGGTGTGTGGGACGGGTAAGAGGCGGGTGCAAAGTGCGTTGGAAGGGGGTGGTCTTAGAGCGATATGCGACTGCGCTGCCGCAGCCACGGAGGCGCTGCTTTGCGCTTTGAGAGTTTAGGAGAGCGTTCGAAGCTCGAGACCCTGAATCGCCTCAAATTAAGGAGGTGACTTTTGAGTCGACTCAAAAGTCGCCTCAAATTCAACCCGGAGGCCTGCGAGGAAACGGGTCAGTAATCCGTCGTCATCGTGGTGCACACTGATGCACGCGACGACGTGTATTTGCGTGGCCACGGCGATGGAAGCGCTGCTAGGCGCCGTACAAGAGAAGAGGTGAGGGCAGACCTTGGCCCGCGTCAATCCCTGTGAGGAAACGGTCGGTAATCCGTCGTCGTTCGACCTCCCGGCTGTTTACAGCGACGCGCGCGACGACGTGTACTGCGCTGCCAGCGCGACTGAAGCACTGCGGGACGCGCTGCAAGAGAAGGGGTGGGTGGGAAATGGTAGGGGGGGGAGGAGGAGGGGTGGAAATGTCTTTTTGGGGTGAGCTGTGACTGGCGAGCAACGGGGGGGATAGCATTTATCTGCGTCTAAGGTGCCACGGTGACGGAAGCCCTGCTGGGCGCTTTGCAAGAGAGAAGGCGCGGGTGGATGTGGGCGCTAAACGTGGTCAGGGTTGGCTTGAAAGGATCGACGCCTGGTATGCAACGGACATGCGCGTGTGCCGCCAAGATGGGTCGCAAGGGGCTCATGACTGCACAAGCATCCCCTCCCCACCCTTTCCCCTTACGGCCCCGTTCCCCCCCTTGCTCCCGCTCCCGCTCCCGCTCCCGCTCCCGCTCCCGCACCCTGTAAGGTCAACGACTCGTGAGGCGGCTCTCAAGGGTCTGATGACCACTCTGGCGTCTCAAGTGCATGTGGATCTCGTACAGGACAAGTAAGGGTGGCGTGTGTGGTGGGTATGGTGTGTGAAAAGGTCATGTGTATGACTATACTCTAAAACAAAACAGTCACATCCTGGGTTTGGTTTCTCTGCCTGTCGCATGTTGTCCCATAGGTTGCTCTTTCTGTTCCGTTCCATCAATAAAGCCCATCATCAATAAATTCCATCATGCTTTCACAGAGCTTGCTTTCTTGGCTCATCTCGTCGCCCCTCTTAACCCGCATGCCACCAGGTACGACACGCTCACGCAGGGCTTTCTCGCCTGCCTTCGGAAGGGCAAGGCTCCGGAGCAAGTGCTCGCTGCTCGCTGCCTTGGTGAGTGCTCCTCGTGGTATCTGCTGCTCCCTGCTGATCTCTGGCACTCTTGGTACCTTGTACCTTTGTCTCCTTGATGGTAGCCCTGGGAAGTCTCTCCCTGTTTTTCTCCCAGCCCCGCTTCCACTCACACCTCCCCAGCCTTGCTACTCCTCACTATTGGCACATCCGTCTGGAGAAAGAAGCTCCTCTCCTCGTCCCTGCCACACCTGGCCAAGCGTTTCCATTTTCTCCCTGTTTTCCGCCTCCCTTCCCCATCCTCCCAGGTTTGCTGGCGCCCACTCTCGTGGCTTCTGACTCGTGCAAGGAGCTGCTGCTCGCCCCCTCCCTGCCGCACCTGGCCAAGCTGTTCTCCCATCCCTCCCTTATCTGCCTCGCATGGGTCTCCCCTATTCACAACCTCTCAGGCCTGCTCACGCTCGCTCTAGAGGCGTGTGACTAGTGCGAGGAGGTGCTCTCCCTCGCCTTGCCGCACCTCAGCAAGCTGTTCTTCCCGTCTGTCCCCCATATCCCTACCCCGTCTGCCCCCCATATCCCTACCCCGTCTGTACCCCTCAGGTCTGCTCGCGCTCACTCTAGGTGCTTCAGATTCGTGCGAGGAGCTGCTCGCCTCCTCCCTGCCTCACCTGGGCAAGCTGGCTCGAGCTGCTGGCTGTGCTGCCACTCGTGTTGCTGTGAGTCGGTGGGCTGAGTGAGTGAGTGAGTGAGTGAGTGAGTGAGTGAGTTTGTGTGCACTTGCGAAAAATGGAGGGGGTGGAAGAGGGAGGAGGGGGGAAGGAGAAAGAAGAGGGGAGGGGGCAGAGCGTGGGTGGGGACTGGAAGGGGTAAGTGCCAGATCCGTGTCCTTGCTTAGAGCACCAATATGCCGCTAAACAAAAAACTCAAAGCTCGATAAAGGCATCGCAAATCACTCTGCTCTCCTCACGCCCCCCTCTTCCTTCCCATGATCCCTTTCTCGTCTGTAAACCCCCCCTCCCATTCCCCCCCACGTTTCTCCCCACACCCCTTCCCACTCGCTTCCCTCCCCCCCTCATCCCCTCAAACCCGTCCCCCCTCCATGCACGGACGCCATAAGGATGGTCACATTCGTGGGGGGGTGGGGGCCATGGACACGCATGCCATGGACACGCATGCCATGGACACGCACGCCATGGAGGAAAGAACTCCTTGTGGTGCGCCCCACCACACCCCTTCCCTCCCTGCACCTTCCTCCCGACTCACCCCCTGCAGTGCACGGACGCCATAGGGATGATCACATTCGTGGGCGCCATGGACGCGCATGCCACAGAGGAGAGCATGAGCCTGCTCTGGCTGGTCGCCAACCCGCAGGTGCGGAGTCATTCTTCAAGCATTTCACGCATTAGCATGGAGATGCAGGGGCGGTCAGAGAGATGCGCAGAACGTGGCAAAGCGGCAGGTGAAGGAGGAGAGCATGAGCCTGCTCTGGCTGCTCGCCAACCCGCAATTGAGGCTCGACGGCGTTTAGGGTTCAAACTTGAGAAACCATGCCAACATGCTTAAGGTTTGCAGCAGGGTCAGATGGTCTAGTCCACCGCACTGAACGCTTTCTTACCCACCCCAACCTCTACCCCTCCCCGCCCCCCCTCCCTCCTTTTTCTCTTTCCCCAGGGCGCCACCAAGGCCACGGTGCCAGCAGCAATTTGACATGCGTAGTGCATCCTGCTCCCCGTCCAACCCATTCAACCCTGTTCGTCCACCCCTACTCTTCTTCACCAGGGCACCACCAAGGCCACGGTGCCAGCAGCGGTGAAGGGGGCAGCTATCAGCAACTGGACCCTGCTGCTCTCCACGCTGCCCTCCTCTCTGCTCGCCCAGTTCTATGCCCGCAGGTATTATGCCTCTCTCATACTACTCTTAACCCAACCCGGCCTCTCTTTCACACTCCCAACCGGACCCTGCTGCTCTCCACGCTCTGCTTTCCTCTCGACTCGCGTGGTTCTATTCTCGCAGGCTCAATGTCTCTCCTGATTCTCGAGGCATGTGCATACAGCCCCTCCCTCCCACGACATGCTGCTTTGCTGCGAATGTCTATAGCATGTAGCCTTTACTGTCTTGGTCTGTTTTAACCATGTAGCCCTTTTCTCCATCTCCATTTCCTCCTCCCTCCATAACCCAGTGAGCTAGAGTCCTCTCTCGCTGCCAAGTTCCAGACATGGGTGTGAGGGGGGCAGCAGGCGAGGCCATAACCCTTGTGCTCGTTGCCCAGACCAATTCCCTCTCATCCCTATCTCCCTTCCCCCCATAAATTAGTAAGCTGGAGAATCTCTCGCAATGCCTTCAGGATTCAGACATGGGGGTGAGGGGGGCGGCAGGCGAGGCCAAAGCCCTTGTGCGCGAGCAAGAGTTCCCCTCGTCATCCCAAATATTTCCCTCTCGTCTTTCCCTTCGCGCCGTCCTTCCCTCCCCATCCAGTGAGCTGGAGGCACTCTCCCGCTGCCTGCAAGACGCAGACATGGCTGTGAGGGGGGCAGCAGGCGAGGCCATAGCCCTCGTGCACGAGCACTGCCCCCCAGAAACCCTGGCTGCTGCTGCTGCCGCTGCCGGGGCTGATGACGCTGGGACCGGTGCAGGCTCGGGAGGAGGTTCGGCAAACGGTTCGACAAATGGTGTTGGGAACGGAGTTGTGGAGAGCAGTGACTCGGATGACTCTATTGTGGACGGGGTGGTCATTCCAGATAAAACCGTGGGAGGTGAGTCAGGAACCCATGGGGGTGCCTGTGGTGTTGGCAATGGTACATGGTGCAGTGGTGTGGAGAGCGGTGCTGTGGAAAGCAGTGACTTGGATGACTCTCGTGGATGGGATGGTGCTGTCAGAGAAAGTCCTGTGGGAGGTGAGTCGACCTTTGCCCTAACGTGACACTCACCTGGGATAGCATTTGAGTTGGTGGCGATGGTGCATGAGCAGCGGTGTCCAGAGCAGTGATTCGGATGACACGATTGTGGATGGGGCAGTGACGCCAGATAAACCCGTGGGTGGTGAAGTGCCCTGCTTTCAGTTTCTGATGCCAAGAGTGAGTGTTTATATGCCTATTTTTGGGCGGTGGAATATACAACCCTATTCGTTGACTGTCTGCTGCAAGTCGGCGCACGGGAGCAGGAGCCGTGCGTGCGGGAGGCAGTGGCACACATGCAGCAGCCGGGGGGGGGGGGGGGCAGCAGCAAGTAGGTAGCCTCCTTACTGGCCTGGCGCCTCGTGGGTCTTCTCCCGACTCCCACTTGTTACCCACAGGAAGGCGGCTAGGAATGAGCGCTTTTCAAAAGGCAGTGCAGCAGATGATGGTGGGCAGCAGATGATGGTGGGCAGCAGATGATGGTGGGCAGCAGATGACGGTGGGCAGCAGATGACGGAGGGCAGCAGATGACGGAGGGCAGCAGATGACGGAGGGCAGCAGATGACGGAGGGCAGCAGATGACGGAGGGCAGCAGATGACGGAGGGCAGCAGATGACGGAGGGCAGCAGATGACGGAGGGCAGCAGATGACGGCGGGCAGCAGATGACGGAGGGCAGCAGATGACGGAGGGCAGCAGATGACGGAGGGCAGCAGATGACGGAGGGCAGCAGATGACGGAGGGCAGCAGATGACGGAGGGCAGCAGATGACGGAGGGCAGCAGACGACGGAGGGCAGCAGATGACGGAGGGCAGCAGATGACGGAGGGCAGCAGCAAGCATCTAATCTTCCCATGATGACCCGCCTCCCCCCCTCCTTACGTCACTCTCTACTGCAGGACGACATTTAGGAATGGGCGCTGTGCACAAGGCGGTGCAGCGGATGCAAGCAACTTGCGGCGGGCAGCAGCAAGCAGGTGGCCTCAACACAATGACCGGGAGCACCCTTTCCTTCCTTTCTATATGCAGGTCGACACCTAGGCACCGGCGCGGTGCACAAGGCGGTGCAGCAGATGCAGCAGATGACGGTGGGCAGCAGCAAGCAGATGACCAAAAAGGACCGCCTCTCGCAGCGGCTGGCGTTTCGGGAGATTCTTGGGTCAATAAGGGTGAGAGTGTGTAGTGCTGTCTATATGTATGGGAATGTGCTTGTGGGGATGGCTTGTATGAGGCCTTTTAAAGCGTGCCCTTATGAGTGCGGGTTTCAAGAGTGGGCAGCAGCAGCAGCAGCGCAAATGTGTACGCGGGGCCGCCTCTCGCAGCGACTGGCATTTGGAAAGATGCTCAGATCAATGTGGGTGCGTTTGTGAGAGAGCTGATGTGGTATGTTTCTGAGGCTGGCTGCTTCGCTGGCCCCTTGGCAGTACGGTTACTGCCTGTAAATGTACTGAAATATATTTTAGGCTTTAGCCTGTGGGTCCCATTCTACTCCGTCTGTCCCCATCGGGACAATGAGCGTGTCTCTGGAGCGTGCCTTTTGAGTGGACTAAAAAAGGAGCTCTCATCAGGGGCTCAATGCAGTAGAAAACCCAAGCGGGGGTCCATGTGTCGTTGCGTGGCTGCAACTGTGATTCCAAACGAGTGTGTCTCTGGAGCGGGCATCAGGTGCTCAAAGACCCCCCCCACCCCTCTCTCTTAATGTGTTCTGTACCTTACCCTCCTCAGGATAACGCCCGTTGCTCCGAGACGGTCATCAGGCTGAAGCGCGGTGGCTCACTGCGCATCATTGCGTTTCCCTCCCTCTTTCCTTCCCTTTCCCCCCTCCATCATCCCCCTCCATCACCCCCTCCATCACCCCCTCCATCACCCCCTCCATCACCCCCTCCATCACCCGCTCCATCACCCCCTCCATCACCCCCCTCGTCACTTCCTCATCACTTCCTCAGGACAACGGTCGTTGCTCTGAGACGGTCATCAGGCTCAAGCACGGCGACTCACTGCGTGTCGACACGTGGACGCTGACAGTGCAGGTAGGTCAGTTGGCATCAGCCCAGCATCATTCTTCAGTCAAGGGGCAGTAGGCTGTAGTAGCAGCATGGGTAATGCCCGTGGAAATGCAAGCGCTCCTTGTACGTTCTGCACCCTCTCTTGCATCCCTGTAGAGTTATTTCAAGAATTCTCAGTTTATGAGATTTTTTTTTACTAGAATTCTAAAAAATGACCCATGTGTTTTCCCTAATCTCGTCCCACTCTCCTTTCCTTTCCCAGTTGAATGCTCTTCGCAAGTTTCTGGCCGACGGCTTCCAGCGCCACCTGCAGGTACATCCTCCTCCCCCCCCCCCCTCTCTCCCTCCCTCCCTCTCACCATTTCCATGCTCCCTCTCTCCACTAAATTACTACCACACTGCCACTCCACGAGGATAGGTACCGCCAGGAATTGTATTCTCTCTCTCTCTCTTTCTAGACATGAGCAAAAGGCGATGCGATATTTTATCGCATCGCATTTTGTTTTATCGCATTTTATTGCATGCGATACATTATCGCATCGCCGACTAATTTTCCTGATTTCGGGATATTGCATATCGCATTTTGGGTGCGATAATGAACAATATCGCAAATACAAATGCGATATATCGCACTATGTGATAATATATCGCATCACATTTATTGTAGGTGGAGAAAAGGTAAGTATTTGACCGGACAGGAAAAAAGTCTGCAGAAATTAGACACAAGGGTTTCACTCAGGTTTCACACAGGTGCGAGCCCCCGGGGTATAGGGGCCCGACTATCATCCAGGGTGTACGAGGGTTCATGAAAGTGACTGTCACAAAGCATAACCAAACAATTAATATCTCCACTGGGCACCAAGCACTAGAGCCCGGCCTGCAAACCCTCCGCAACACCACCCGCCCCCCAGGCCCCCCCCCCTCGAGCCGTGGCTAGACGTGGAGGAACCCCACCCCCTCCTCACAACCACCCCCCCCCCCCAACCCCAACACTGGCGAAATTTCGCGATGCGATTAATTATATCGCATGCAATACTATAGTATTGCATATCACATTTTTATCGCGCGACACATGGCGTGGTAAAAATGAGATGAAAATTATCGCGCGATATAATTTTCAGAGAAAAAATTATCGCAATCGCAAAAATGCAATATTTGCGATGCGATAATGCGATATGCGACGCGATATGATCATGTCTACTCTCTCCTGATGACGTCAGGCCTGCCCGTCTCTACCCATCGGCACCAACAGTAGAGGGATCGGGTGCTTCTTTTCCCCCCTCTCTCTCACAATGGCGTCATCCCTGTGGTGACGTCAGGAGCGGTGCCAACATTGACTGGGACTGCTGTAGTGCTCCGTTTGACTGCCATGGGCGGTTTTTAGAATTGCGTTGGTGGTTCATAGACCTGCCCGGGCGGTTCTTTCGGGACTGCTGTGTTCGTCTCTAGGCTGGGCTGAATTCGTTGGCAGCAGCACACGTTGACCACGTCAATGCGTCTGTGGCTGCTGATGCCAGACTCCCACCCACACTGCCTACACTGCCTTGAGAAGCTTTGAAGGCAGGCCTTCAGCTACCCGCTACCATTCGCACTATACATCTACCCATGCATCCCTCAACACAAAAATCCAACCAACACTCCTCCCCCTCACACACACTGCCATGACAATGACCTTCTACACCAGGTGTTCAGCTACCAGCCACGCACCGAAGGAACACCACACCCCCCCCTCTCCCCCTCTCCTCCCCTCCCCAACACCCTGCCAGGACAACGACCTGCTGCACCAGGTCTTCAGCTACCAGCTACCAGATACCATCACCGTTGTTCCTCATCTTCTCCCGTCTCCCACTCCCCACCACCCGCCAGGACAACGACCTGCTTCACCAGGTGTTCAGCTACCAGCCGCGCACTGAAAAGAAGGAGGTGTTCCAAACAGCCGTGCAGAAGGTGCGTGTGTCGGCATGAGGTGAGCAGTGGCGTGCACATGCTATGTATCTAGGCACGAGCAGGCACGAGCAGGCATGAGCGGGCTTGAGCAGGGATGAGCAGGCATGAGCAGGGATGAGCAGGGATGAGCGGGAATGAGCAGGGATGAGCAGGGATGAGCAGGGATGGTGAGCTTCTACTCAGTCGACTCTAAAGTCCCCTCGTTACAATGTCACACACCACCTTTTGAGTCGACTCAATGGTCCACCTCTCCCCCTTGGCACCCGCAGTAAAGGGTTGGGGAGCTTCTTTTCCTCCCTGCGCTTTCCAATGACGTCATCCTTGTGGTGATGTCAGGAGCGGTGCCAACATTGACTGGGACTTTCGTAGTGCCCCATTGAATTGCCCTGGTGGTTCTTTGAACTGCTCTGACGGTTCTTAATATTGCCTTGGCGGTTCTTCTGTGACTGCTATGTCCGTCCCTCGGCTGGGCTGAATTCGTTGGCAGCATGCGTCGACCACGAGTCCATGCGTCTGTGGCTGCTGATGCCAGACTCCCACCCACACTGCCTTGAGAGGCGCCACAACAATAGCACTTGGCTCACCCTTTTTTCATGTCTCCCCTCCCCATGCCACTAGCTTCCTTTCACCTATCCCCGCCCGTCTCATTTCCTCACGCGCATCTCTCAGCGCATCATCCTGTCCCCTGACTCTGAAGCCAGTCACAATCGCTCCGTGAAGCCCGCAGACTGGTGATGCCGCAGCCATGCACTCATCGTCCCCTCCCCTCTCCCCCTCCCTCCCCCCCAAACCCCCCTTGTCCCCTCCGCTCGCTTCCTTGTTTCCCCCCCCGTCAGCGCATGATCCTCTCACCCAACTCCGAGGCCAGTCGCAATCGCTCCGTGGCTCGCAGACGCAGCCGTCTTGCAGCTCAGGTCAGCATGGAGTGGTTGTGAGTCAAGCGCCAGTCAACGCAGGTCAGCACAGAGCGCAGGTCTGCACGGAGTGGTCTTGTGAGTCAACCCTAGCCAATGCAGGTCAGGCGCAGCCGTCTTGCAGATCAGGGCAGCATGGTCTTGTGAGTGAGTCACCGCTGGTCAATGCAGGTCAGCACAGGTCTGCAAAAGTAATCTCTGTTATGGTCTGTGTACTCACTCCCTCTACCTTTTCCTCCCTTCTCTCCTGTTCCTGCTCCCCTGTCTTTTTTCCTCTGCAGGAGAGCAACCATGCATTCTTCGCTCACGATGACTGACGGCAACACATTCGTCTATCATTCTTTATAGGTTGGTGTCGCGTCGCCATGTACATTCAAGGCAGCTCGCCTCTGGCACATCCAACTACTGGTCCAGGCCCCCAGAAGTCAGGAAAGTTTTCCTGATTCAGGAAAAAAACAGGGTGTTGAGGGGTACCAGATCTGATTTGCTAGGGTTTTGTTTTTGGCATATCCTGAAATTTCAGGGTTTTTTTTGTAAGGGATATCTGTCAGGTCAGTTTTTTTTTGTAATAGATCCTGAAAATTCAGACTTCTATCGAGCATGGGTTCTGATTTTGTCAAAGGCGTGATTTGCGGGTCCCCCCCCGAATTACAGCGATATGCGCATATTCCCTCACAAAACTGGCCTGACTGCCAGGTTCCCGCCTCCAGACATTGTTTGCTGAGTCACATGTTGCCTCGCTGCCTCACGGCATTGGTCCTTCTCAAAGTGTCGACCAGCACACAGTTTGCCTGCATGCGTGGATTGGTTGCCTTTGTAAATGCTGCCTGAATAGCCAATCACGTGTACGCCAGCGATGATGACCCAGCTTCAACACCACACTCCGGTTCGACGCCGACGCGCATGCGCCGCGCTAGTTTCGGTCCAGATTCAGGAATACAGGAAGCCAACTGTGCGTGGCTGGCAAAGTGTTCGCGCCTCGCCATCGTTCCCTTTCCCCCCTGCGTCTTCTTCATCTGTTTCTTCCCACGGTAGAAACAGCCACTGCGTTAGCCACTCCCAGCGTGACCTTCCCCCCGCAGTGTCGTTGTTTTACAACCACTCCGTCGTGCGTCTCTGCTCGTCGACCACCCTAGTGAGCCCCGTCCACATGCCTGAGTCAGGCGACGTGGAATTGGACGACGATGGCGATGACAGCGGCAGTCACCGTGCCGAAGCCCCTACTGGGCTTGACATGCTCCTTTCGAAGCTAGGTAGTTTTCCGAAGACTCCTCGTAACCCTCCGACAGAACAAAACCCCCTATGTGCCTCGGAGTCGGTCGCCTCAACTTCTCAAGGTGTTGTCGAGCCGAATTCCGCGCCTATTCTAGGCCCATCCCTGGCTAATGCTTTTACCTGTAGTCCAGGTTCCGCCACCCCCGTGAAACCTGGCGGTCGATACCGGCAATCCACCCTGTGGAATTTCCCACGCGGTCAGCCGACGACGCCCCGCCCCTCAGCCATGTGCGAAGATGACGACAGCGATAGCGACGACACTACCGATGCACCCGACAAGTTTCGATCGCCTGAGGATGTCTACGGCGAAGCCCTCAGCAGGTTTAATACGCGGTGGTCCGAGCGGTTTCCCTGGCTTATGATCGTTAAGACTGACACTGGATTCCCTGCGTTTAAATGCAGTCTGTGCCTTGAGCATGCAGGACTCAGAGGGAAAGCCGGCAAACGCGGCGCAGGGCTGACGGACGTGCAGTCGTAGGCATTCAACAGGCACGCGAGGTCGGCCAAGCATCGCCTAGCCGTGACAAAGCAGCAGGCGCTGCTGCAGGACGCAACCAACCAGATGCGGATCGACCAGCTTCCTCAAGCCACAGACCTGGAGAAGGAACGTGTGACTGTGCTGCTTGACGCGCTCTATTTCTGCTGCAAAGGCAACGAGCCGATGGAAAACTGGATTAGACTCGTGCGCTACCTCAGCCAACGTCGGCACGAGCACTTCCCCGAGCAGACCTATGGCACGTACTACAACAGGTATTCTTGTGTTTTGTTTGATTTTGTTTTGCATGCATCTATCATGCATGGCGAATGTTCATATTTCAGTATACTAATTATCTGTATGCCCTTGGCTACTGCAGTTATGGGTACGGGGAGTTCACACAGTCCATGGCAACCTGGCTGCAGACAACACAGTTGGACCACCTTCTGAGGAGTCCGTTCATCGGCTTGAGTATCGATGAGAGCACAGACCGCTGCCGCGGCAAGCACCTCATCGTGTTTGCGCACTTCATCCGCGAGAACCAAGTCGTCTGCGAATACCTGGCCCTGCTGAGCGTCGACAAGGCCGACGCTGCCTCTCTGCTCGCTCTACTCCTGTCTCACATCAACGCCATCGGTGTCGACCTCCGGCGGGTCGTGGGCATAAGCACCGATGGCGCTGCTGTTATGATGGGGTCAAAGGCTGGGCTTGTGACGCGGCTGCGGATGCAAATTCCGCACTTGGTGTGGTGTCACTGTATTGCGCACAGGTGAGCGTTGTTGTTTACCGCTACTGTATCTCGGGTTAAGTGCTCTGGTGGTTTCCGCATGTGCAATGTGTATTACCCCACTCCCAAGGCCCAACATGTACCAATTTGTTTTCGTTTTGTCCCACCCTCCAGAGAGGCACTGGCAGCTAAAGCAGCGGCGGAATCCTTGCCAGCTTTCAAGATGATTGACGATGTCATCAAGGAGCTCGCTGAGTACTTCGGACGATCTGGCCCATGGCACCAGCGCTTCTTGGACCTGCAGGAAATCTTCACCTCGACGAACCTCGAACTTCAAGGCATTCATAACATCCGATGGCTCTCCCGCGGTGAGGCTGTCATTAGGTTAGTCAAGGTTCTACCCGCCATCGTCGTCATGCTCTCGGAGTGGACTGGTACCTGGCTCTCCAGGATAGTGACAAGCTACCGCTTCTGGTTCCTTGTCATGTTCCTTGCTGACGTACTGGAGCAGCTAAACATCCTCAACAAGTCCTTCCAGGAGCGTCAGGTGAGTTTTTCTTTACTGTGACAATGAGTCGTTATTAAACCACCCTGGTTCTGTATATATACACGTTCCCCTCCCTTCCTCCCCTCCCCCTCTTCCCCGCCCCAACCTCAGCTGGAGTACTCGGCCATCCACGCGCAGATCATCCGCACAACAACCCTGCTGCAGAGCTGCTACGGGGACGCTGAAGACTTTGGCGGGGGACCGAAGGACCGTCTCACCATCTTCCTCACCCGTCATGGCCCGGGCGGTTCTCGCGAGGTCACAGCTGAGGGGGTTGACTCCGACGGTCGTCCGGCTTCCTTTACCTTCGTGCTGCATGAAGATCGCTTGCCCGGTTATCCGGGGGAGGGCGATCACGACGCGTGCCAGAGGCTCTGTGTGGCCATGGCGACAGGCATGGTGTTGAACTTGAAGGAGCGACTGGGTGATCTGAGGAAGCTCTCTGGCTGCCGCCTCTTCTCTGTCAACCTCTGGCCCCCTAACTGGGAGAGAGTTGCACGCAAGGCCCAGTGCCTTGACTGGTTCTTCTCCCCTGTTACTCTTTATCGTGCAGATGAGGCAGAGGAGATTCTTCCTGGCATTGACAAGTGTGCAGCCATGAGAGAGCTGCCTCATTTCTACCCTGTCATTGCTGCTCTTCCCCAGGCCGACCGAAGCTTTCACGCTGGGCTCACGGCCATGCTGAAGACACCTGACTGACTGGCAGGATTCTTACCCGATCCTGATGAAGCTGTGGATGGCGGTGGCAGTGCTTCCTCTCAGCACTGTGGAGTGCGAGCGCAGATTCTCTAGGCAGAATGTGATTAAGAGCTGGCTGCGTGGCAGCCTTAAAGATACTAGGCTTAGTGACCTCATGTGCATGTCACTGTTAGACTATGACCCGGACTATGATGCTGTGGTGGAGATATGGCGCGCTTACAAGAAGCGTAAGCCCTTCAACAACACCCCTCAGGCCAAGCAAGACGGCTCAAAGAAGGGGAAGGTAGTAGAAGAAGAGTCAGAGTAGGGTGTAGGTAGTAGTGACAATGTGGACGATCTTGATAAGTTCGAGTAAAGTTTCTTGCTTCTCAATTTCCTCTTCATTTTGTTAATCAGGGAAAAAAAACCATCTATCTTTGTCCATTCAGCATTTTTCTCCCACACAATCCTGACCCCTAAGCAAAAAATTTTGGGGACCTCTGAAAATTCAGGGAAAAAACCACGGGTAGTCCTTTGCAATCAGGATGACTTAAAACCAATCTGAGGGCCTGTACTGGTCCATCCAAGCTGTTATGGTAGCCCAAACCTGTAGTAACTGAAAGAATGTGAATGAATGCTGCAGGAGACTAAGTATTGAATCTGCACGTAAGTTGCTGAAGTAGAAAGTTAGTACTGCTGAAGCGCCAGTGTACTGTTAGTGTAGGTATATTGTATGTACTGTAGGCTAGCTAGGTGCAGACTAAAGAGGGGACAACACTAGTCTTGCATGTGACACACAAGTCATTCTCTCCATTTGACATGGTATCATCGCTACCGTAAACGCCCGGATAGAAGACCCCTATGTCTTATCATATACCGAGGAAGAAAGTGGTGAAGTTTCTTATAAACGGAAAAAATCAGGGGGTCTGGGTTTCTTATAAATGGAAAAAAAGCTTATAAACGGAGCCCTTTTTGGGTGGGCAGAAAGTGCTAACCGAGGTTTTAGGGAGTGTACGTCACTTGGGTCTCATACTGACTTAAAAAGTGTGTCTTATAAACGGAGAGGCCGAATACAAGATAGACGCCTAATACAAGACATAGTGTCTTCTATTCCATGGGGGTCTTCTATCCGGGCGTTTACGGTAGGTTAGTTAGTTCCTAGCCTCCACGCTTCCGCCCAATCTACTCCCCCCTCCCCTCCCGTTTTAGCCTGTCGGCCTAGCCCTAGCCCTAGCCCTAGCCCGCTGCTCGCGCTGCCCGCAGCCGATGGCCGCTACCCCCTGCCGCTGGCTGCTGCTCGTGCTGCCTGCAGCCGCACGCTGCCCGCTGCCCGCCGCCCTCTGCCCACCGCCCGCTGCTCGCGCTGCCTGCAGCCCACTGCTCGCGCTGCCCGCCGCTGCCGCCCGCAACGCGCCGCCCGTGATGCGCCGCCCGCTGCTCGCCGCCTGCTGCCCGTCACCCGCTCCTCGCCGCCCGCTGCTCGCCCACTGCCTGCCTACTGCCTCCCGCTCGCGCGCGCGCGCAGCCGCAGCTGCATCCGCCGGTGTCACCGCCGCAGCCGCCAGAGCGGTCGCCACTGTTACTGCAGCCCCAGCCGCAGCCACCCGCGCTGCTGCCGCCAGTGCCATCGCCGCCCGCACCGCAGCCGCAGCATCCAGAGCTGCCGCTGCCGCCACGAGCACCGCCACTGCTAGTGCCGCGGATGCCAGTATCGCAGGCTGCCCGCCTCCGGCGCCGTCGCTAGCCCTAGTTGCCAAAAACCACCTCCTCGTTCACTCGTTCCTAGCCGCTGCCGCCGCCGCCGCCGCCGTCGTCGGATCTGTAGCTGGACCTGCCACCGGCCCTACCGCCGCCACTGCCGTTGGATCTGCCACTGTACGCCGCCTACGCCCGCGCCAGCCGCTGTCCGGGTACGTGTGGTG